CGTTTTCGTGTCGTCTAGAATTTATAACGTAAAAAATAAATATCCACCATTTGAGTATACTCTGATCACTATACTGTGGAACTTTATGCAAAATAACATTCTTCGAAGTGATTTGTAAAACACAGATGCGACAATTGGATTTTCATTTATTTCTGAAGGATTTTATTAAGACACAAATAAAACAGAGAATTATATTAGATCTGATGGTAACTTTACCATTTATCATATTTCACATATCGTCGTATATCATAAATGCGTATAATCCGCAGTCTACTCTAATAACCTTTTCAGTTATTCACCAGTGTATTTTTATCTTCATATTCGATCCATTGCTTCGTTTTTCTCGAAATAAATTGTTCGTCGATAAAGAGGCTACGAAATCAGTGTCAGGGGTCGTTTTATTTTTGATGAATTCAATTTTGGTTCAAATTGGTAACGTCAATTTTATTATAATTAGACTACGGATTCAATGCATGTATCATAAAACACAAAACACAGCAAGAATTTTCGAAGTGGTGAATATTAAGTTCGCTTCACTCCGAACCTAACGAAATCTTTGATAAAGAAAACAAATCTCTAATACGATTCTAATTCAATAGATTAATCTACAAGAATCTGAATTTGCATAAAATTCCACAGTCTAATTATAACTTTAGCTTTTAGCATAAAAATATCCAGATGCTCCTTCAAACTACTCAATATACCTCTGCATCTCCATTTGCTTCGATTCGAGTCTCCATCATCGTATCGGGCACACACCATCGTCGAAGTGATCTTCGATGTTTCAAGTATATGTTTCCTTCGATCAAATGAAACACACGCACACACCACCACCGAGCTCGTTATCGATCTGACGAAAGGGTTACGTAAATTCCCGTAAGCGACAGTTGCGGAAAAGGGGGAGATAAGCTGGCTACGGGTATTCGTGTCCGAAGTTACGACTGTGAGACAGGTAGCCCAAGCGGCATTGGACGTTCAGTTGAAAGCTTCGTAACGTTATATCATCCTTTATCCAAAGAAGAAACACGTTGTCGAGGGTATGAAATAGTAGGAGACCCGACATCTCGTGGAAATTGCCACTCGTGTCCCATCTTTGGCGCGATCTTCGGCGGCGACCCTCTCGTACAAGAACGTTCGCTAGTGTCCATTGAAATCAGCACCACATTTCTTCTCGGTCTCGTCTTAAACGAAGTCACGGGTACTTCAGGTATGTCCATCGTTTTTAGGTATTTATATCCACCGTTACAAGTACCCATATCCACCATTTCATATTGTATACCCACCCATTTATGTATATCCACCCTTCCAGGTCGGTACCTGATATAAGTATATCTACCGTTTTAGGTATAGGGTACCCTTTCGGGTACCGATAACTACAGTTTCAAATATGTCCACGATTTTAGATATATCCACCATTTTAGATGTACTCATCATTTTAAGTGTATCCATCATTTTAGATACATTCACCATTGTAGGTATATTCACCGTTTCAAGTCTATATCCGCCATTTGAGACGCATCCACCTTTTTCGGTATATCCACCCTTTCAGGTAAATCCAGCCTTTTCGGTATATCCACCCTTTCAGGTAAATCCAGCCTTTTCGGTATATCCACCCTTTCAGGTAAATCCACCCTTTCAGGTACCTATATCCTCCATTTTAGATATATCTACGGTTTAAGGTATATCTACGGTTTCAAGTATATCCACCGTTTCAAGTATATCCACCGTTTCAAGTATATCCATCGTTACATGTACATCCATCGTTTGTAATTACGTCTGTCAGCCGTGTCTTCATAAAAGTGCAAGTGTATGCCCTCACCTACCGCGCAGACGAAACTGAAAGACCATGTAATACGAAGTGTGCGTGCAATGGTGTGGTTGATCGATCCGTTTATTTCATGCGATCGGCTATTTTCGAGCGGGATCGATGATCCGAGAGCGGCCTGGGATCCATCTTGCTGAACGATACGCGAAAGCAAGCGGAAGGGCCGCCGCCGCCGATGATTAACCGACCTTCTGCCCATTAGGCACCGAACCTGTTCTCCGACGCGTGAAAACAATGATAGGGATACCCTGACGCGAGAAAATACCGTGTGAAACGGTCACGTTCACGGTTAACGTACAGTTGGCTCCGTATAGGTCAACTCCGCTGGCAACGAATAGATTGTGTCGTGAGTGTTGTGTCTTAGACGTCGTCTTACGATTGATTACATAAAATGTGAGTCAATAAACATTTAATAAAAAACATTATTAGCATCATCGATAATCGTGCCAACCAATTTTTAATAGAAGATTTCGATTAATAAAATATTTACGATTTTGAAAGATTTTATTATCACTCCGATATCTCAAGCTAGAATCTTATCGATTACCGAGATTGGAGAGGTTATAGAACACGATGTGTACGTCATATAGCGGCGAAAAATTACATCAGACCAGAAAAATATCAATCGGTGTTTGTTACTTTAAAGTCACAGGAGGCTATTGAAGGTTAAGGTTAGTCTCATTACAGCGATTCCTTGATGAATGCGACACGAGTAGCGGCGTTATTCCCACCACTGGGGGAGTCACTTTGTGGAACCAATCAAAACAAAGTAAACAGTAGCTAGGAAGAGGCTCGGCTTCAGGCAAAAAAACAAATTTATGAGAAGCTCAAAACTTTCCTGCCTTGCCACGAAAGTTCCAAAGTGAACCTGAGTACGTCGCACTCATCGAGGCATTACTGTATTTCATTATACAGATATTCCTCGAGTTATGACTTCCTTGACTTACGACAACATTCGCATTTTCGACTGTAAAAAATACTTATTTTCTAATTTTTGAAAATTTTGTCGATTCTATAGTTCGTTACTGGGAAACAGCCTCGAGTTGCTAGTTCCTCCAGCTGAAACAGCTTCAAATGCAAAAGGATAAAAATCCTACTGCAACCTAAAAGAACCCACTATGAAACCACGCATGCACTTTTTCACCGATGCAAAATCAGCAAAGAATTGCTGGGTGTCGTTTTACCGACCGAGAAAAGAGAGGGGGGAGGCGAGTTAAACACGGTCACTGAAATCTCGTCAAAATGGCCGAACTAACAGCGCGGCCACTGGACCTTAATTACAATGTTCTCGGAAAAAACAGAGCTGGGAAATGCGCTGTCGCGGGTGCTGAATTAATGAAGGTGCCCTGAGAAATAGTCATTTTTTGACATTTTTCTTTTTCAGTGAACGATATGTTCAACATAAATGAAGTATTATCTATTTATTAGTGCACTTATTGAGAGTATAACAAAATTTGTTTAAACTTTTGTCATTTTAAATCGCACTGAAATGAGCCTCTTGAAAAAGTTATTTAGTGCTGGCGTAGGTGATTGCAAAAAAAACTATTTGTCCAATCAATCAAAAATTTGTCCATGTCATTCAGCACATTGATGGTTATCGAATGGACCACGAAAACCTTTTTTGATCAACAATTTCATACTTTATACAGCGCAAAATGACTAAAAAAAATTCACTAAATTTCGAAATTTGAGCTTTAAACCTGCGCCATGTTTGTTTATTTTTTAGCGGTCGAAATAAATTTCGTTCCGACGGTAACACGACACTCATACTGACTAAACAATCTGTTAGAAATTTTTGATCCTGATGTTTCATTCTCCCGGAATCAACTACGCCCTTGCACTAATATGTTAAAGCTTAAACAATTAAATGTGACGAAATACATTTTTACCTTTTATTCGTTATTCGAAACTTTTCATCTAGATAATGAATTTGCCCATCTCTGCCACTCCTGGGAGCCGAGAAAAGAAGAGGAGCCACCGGTGTATACGTTGGTTTTGATAAGCCCCAAACGTCCTCGCCGAGCGGTTAACCCTGTCACCGGTCATTTGTCTCTGGAAGCTTTAACACCGGTGGTGGTCCCCCATACGAATTGCAAATTCGTGATAATGGAAGACGTGCGGCTGAATATAAACTAGACCCGTGATCTAACACCCCCTTCCAGGTCACCCGTTTCTTTGACGGAGTACGTTGTATGGAGATCGAGTCCCACAAAGGGAACGATCCGAACTGAACGGTTGATTATTGAAGGAAGAAGGATTCAGTAGCGAGTTAGAGGTCGATGGGTGATTTTGTAGATCGTTTTTAGCGTTACTGTGGAATGTTTAGAGACACTGAACCGTAAGGATTGTGCTTTCGTGATTTGTGTGTTGGAAGAACCGATTTACTGTCTCGATCAAGTGTCCCGACGAATGAACGAAGTTTTCTACTGCTTTCGTTTCTTTCTGACAGAATACGGTGTACGGGAGTGTTGTACAAACTTTAGAGACTTGTTTGATACTCCAGGTTAGGAGTGTTTCGAAGGAAAGTCATTCTGTTCTTGGTATTTGAAAACTACTGGGGAACTTCGTTTTTCTTTTGTCTGTAGTTTCTAATAAAGGGTTCGATCGCGAGACGTCGAAAGGCCGTACTTTTTATGAACTGAAACTGATAGACTTATTATATAAACTTACCTGGTGAAACTTAAAAAACAACAAAATTTTGCTTAGTATTATATTCGATAAACATCCATAGATCTATAGTCTTGACATCAGCTACTACACTATGAAGTTAAAAATATATAGTGTTATTTAAAATCCATCCGTGACCCTCAAAGGACCTTGAAGACAACTACAGAAAAATTTTTATACATCTAAATATGCTTATAATACATCTAAAACATTACAACGTGTCATTGAGAATCTGTCAATTCGGCTTCGTCTGTCATTCTAGACAATCGAATTTCAAATTGAGTGCAGAATACCAAAATTCGATCCTAACAGAAATATTTAGGTGTTCTGTTTCTCGTAAATCACCCTGTATATACAACGCGATCGTTGAACTGCGTTGTGAGCACAGCTGTTACGTGTGTGATTGTGCGAGGATACTCCAATTTATCGGGGAGATGTCGAGAATATTTTGAGACACGTGGTCGCAGATGTAGGAGTAATCACGACCGAATACGGCTGTTTGTTCCAGAAAGTCCAGTGTGGAGGAAAGGTGAAATCGGCGCAGGGAAGCAGAAAGAGCCATAAAAATCTCGGGGCGTGAAAGAGGACGAGAAACAACCGGGCCAAGGTCGAGAATCGCCAGCCGAAATCGCGTAATTTCCGGGGTGTTCCGTACCGACGCGCGCTGGGCTGTCGTGAATTGATGGTGATTTCACGAGGAATTTATCGGCGCGGCCTTAAATCACCGTTTAAAACAGTGGCCGCATTCGAGGCGAGCATCAAACTCTGCGATGGCGCCTGAGGATTCGTGTGAAATCATGGAAGGTTCGTAGTGAATCGTTTATCGTTCTCCCACTGAACTGTATACAGTATGCTTGAATAATTTCGTGGCTAGATATACAGTGAATAACGAGGGTGTTCTATAACAGATTATCAGAGACGGGGAACTCTATTATTTAGATAAAGAATTTTTAATTTTTATAATTGAATAATATTTCTTCTAAAACGAGTGGACACTATTAACAAAGAATTATTCAGTCTCGTTAACAGTTCAACCCTAGATTACTAAACTATCCTGTGACTTACACTATTGCTCATAAGTCTTAGGAGAACTGGTCTGTATGAAGAAAGATGTTTCGTACAAATTATATACTCCAGCCACTTCTATTACTTTATAGTAGCACAAGTATTTCCAAACTAACAAGTTCTTCAAACTAAATTAAAACTAACTAAATAAATTAAGCTATCGAGCTTTAATAACCCATTAAAATTTCACTGTACAGTTTTTATAATTCATCGAAATATAGTTAACCCTCCATAATACGGACACCATCTGTAATTGGGTCCCTTATCTTACAACATCGCAATCAATCTTCAATGAGTCATAGATTCCGTTTTTCCACTTTCAGGGAACTCGAGCCCTGCGAATGGGACAGAGCTAACAGGGTGTCTTGGTTCCGTGGCGATCGATTAATTACAAAAAAAAAAAAAAAAAAGAAAGAAACAAGTCCACCTGAAATTACGAATCGGCCTGGATGCGTCATGTCGTCCCACGAGGGGCACGTTTACGAGCGGAATCTTACCTGAACGACGAGACGCAAGCATCGCCGTGGGTAACACGCGGCACGTGGCTCGTTCGGTAGCTCGGTGGACAGTTACAATGTCAACGCCCGCGACCGACCCGTTGCCCACCACCGTGTCCGGGGAATTGACCACCGCGCTGATACCGACGGTGACAAAGATCGACACAAGGCTGGACGTCAACCCGATCTCGGTGGTGCTGGCGGTGTCGATAGTTTGCATTTTGTCGCCGGTCACCCTTACCGGGAACTCGATTATCCTGGCCGCGTTCTACAAGTACAAGAGGCTCCGTACAGCGTCCAATTACCTGCTAGTCTCTCTGGCCGTCAGCGATTTTGGGGTAAGCCCAGGGATGCAATCAGGCCAAGTTACGCAGAAACCTACCGATCCTTGAAATGACATAAATGAATTAACACGCTCAGAACAGGCTGTAATCGTCTTTTCCGAACCCATGACCTTGGGAAGTGAATTTTTCTTTTTTTTTTTTTATATTTTTGGTATCAATGTATGTCATTACAAGTATTTAAGAAAAGAGTCGAAAGAATGAGAAATGCTTTTTAGTCGCATTTTTTAAAGGGAACTCTCATTGCTGTGGGTCTGGCCACTTCCGATTTCGATGATTTTTTAAGATGTCAAATTCATCACCCTGAGTAACGTTTAAAAAGTTTCAGTTATCAAATGTTGTATATTAAAAAGTTATTTAGAGAACAATGATACCTTTCTTTGAACTGTTTCTAACCAATCTTGAATGACTGTTTTTTTTTATGGATAACTGTTATTAATTTTTTTTTAAATATTGTGTTTTTGACTTCAGCGTATCACAATCGGGGAGAAGGCCAAACCTCTAAATAATTATCAACCTAAATTTTTTTTGATAATATCTTTTTTACACACGGCGACCCCCAACTAGAACCTGCACAGCACTAATCAGGGTGGTGACTTCGACAACATGAAAAATCATCGAAATTGGATGTGACACCCTTATTGCAAATATTGACCTTAAAATTAACTATAGAAAATTTAAAATAATATCAATTATACTTCTCACTGTTAAATAGGCCACTAAAAAGTACTGTAAAACAGTAACAAGAAATGAAGTATACGCAATGAAGCTACGTTTTTTATTTTTAAATGAGAATCTTCAAACTAAATTTGCTTCGTTTCAGATCATTGAGGGTTGGTAACTTTCTGCATAACATGGCTCGATTAAGCCTCGTTACAGCGATCATTTTGACCCATCTGTAGCTATCAGGTAACCATGAAGGTTCGTGCCGTTTCCAGGTTTTGTTATTGTCGAACTGTACCTACTGTGCACGCAGTCTATCAATTAAAAGTGTAGTTATGTGTGTTTAACCCTCCATTAATAACGCACGGTCCCAGAAGGCTGGTTCAGGCACGTCCAGTAATTTAGTCAAGTGTCGAGTAGCCACTCGATACTAAACGGTTAAGTGCATAGAAAGCTTAATACAATCAGAAAACTTGTCCGAACATATTTATTTGGTTAGTAATGAATAGTGGGGGAACTCTACTCAATCAGAAAAATCTAATTAAATGGATCTACTCGAATAAATCGTTTCACTAAATTATTACACTAAATTTTAGTGTCTCATATTCAGTGCGTGATCAGCTTTAACTAACGAAGGAATGTCATTGAGTCATTAGCAGTATTGGTCTGTGAGACTGAAATTAGTGTTGTGCAACGAAAATAATAGTGCAATGATTTTCATAGTCATGTTTTTTAACATGTGAATTTGAAAATTTTTTCAAATGGCAAGAGAAGATTGTTAGAAGGACCAGTAAAAGATTCCTACGATTGTTCGATGAAGAGGTAGAAAATAATATAGGAGGGGGATAGACGTGATTAATTGATAGAGGGTTATTAAATATGGAATTGTTCGACCAAGCTAGCTCACGGGTATAGAATTTATCGCATATTCGAACGGAGATTTCGGAGTGCATTCTAAAAGTGAATCCATTATTAACGCAATTAGCATTAACGAGTGCATATAAATTTCATACTCATTGGGCATTAAATTCACATTCTGATAATACTTTCATTCCGCTCGAATGAATCGCATATTCGTACAATTATCGCGGACGATGAACACATCCTTGTGTCTGAATCAAAGTTTGCACCTATTATCGCGCTATGTTTCTTCCATAAACAATCTTAACCGTGACTTTTAAACATCCAAGATATTAACATTCCTGAATCACTTAAAATTATTATACGATAAATGAAATGTGTCAATGATCCATAAACTTATTTGCTTATCAATCAATGATCTGTTTAACCATTGGAAAATTCCCGGGATTAATTCATGGAATATTCGACGCGCAATTTATGGAGATGAATCGATATATAGCAACAAAATTTTCTACGCGTTAACGGTCACGTAAAGCCCTGCTGTCTATCGACAGGATCCTCTCCCGTCAGCAGTCAGCTTCGTCAGACTCACAAGAGGCTGCTCCAGCACTGAAGTAGCCGCCATTGTTTCCCGAGATTAATCGAGTATTTTAATTAGTCAGCTGTATCGACGAAGAAACGAGAATCAACGACGTTTCGAACACGATCCATTTCATAATTAACTCTTATATTCAAGAGCAAAAACGTTTATTTATTATAATAGCTTGCCGCCTACAAAATGTGATTTGAACAACGCCATCTTGCGATATACGCGATGAACAACACTTTAATTACGTATGTATAAGTTTGACAAAAATCGGTATCAATTTTATATCAATTGTCATACATCATCGGGATGATTCGATCGCTGACACATCGATCATAGCTAGACCACGGATATTTAAGCGAATTTCTTCTAGATTAATTTTGCAAAAACGGAATTCGACGGAAATTTTGCATCCCCTATTGAGAGTTTCGTAAGGTTACTGTTGACATACAAACGTCATAAAGCTTTATTCACCCTTTAACGGTGGAATTTTGCTTTGAAAATATCTATCTACGTGCGTAATGAACATCAAGCGATGACGAGTATACTCGTCAAACATAAAGTGAATATACCTACTGTGAATTCGAATTAAATTAAACAAAATGGCAAACACCACAAATTAGTTTATTTAAACGAACTAATTATATTATCGTTCCATGACGAGTATACTCGTCGTTACCCAAAAACTGGTCGCTCCTCATGACGAGTATACTCGTCTAACGCCGTTAAAGGGTTAAACGCTTTACTACACTGAATTTTTTAGATTATACGATACAAAACGTGATTGTTACGCTTCTAGGTCGGCGTGTTCATGCCTTTCGGGATGCAACTGGAACTCTACGGCCCACCAGAAAATGGTGTGTCCACGTTGTGCATCATCCCTTACTGTATCGTGATCGCTCTGTGCAGCGTGAGCGTTCTGGTCACGGTGGCGATCGCTGTCGATCGGCTGACCTCCCTCGCCCAGCCATTGAGGTATAAGAACATCATCACGCACAGCAGCATCGAGAAATACATCGCCGTGTTCTGGATTTACGCGATCGCCGTCGGCCTGTCCCCTTTAATCTACGCGAAAGCTATCGGCGAGACGGAGCCGCACAGGTGAGCCAATCGTCCTCTAATCACCTGCATTTCGTATGGCGTTTTATAAATATATCGACTGTCCTAGAAACCTCACCAGGTTCTGACGAAGAATCCTCGTATAATTAACAGTAGAAAATATCCTACACTCACGAACAGGAGTGTACGTCGATCCTAGAAAACGTCCCGTGGTGTGTTACTGGCGATCCCACACAGTAGCCATGGACCGTAATTGTTTCAAATCGCGTGTATCATATTTCTAAAAATAATTTCGAATAGAAACCAGTTAGACTTTCACCATAGAGAGCCTGAAGAACGTCGACACACGGTCCAAAAATTGATGAAATCGAATTAACCGGCAGTCACGTTCCCCAAACAAGGATATCAGGTCTCTTACCCCTGAGCGCCACCATTGAAAATGCACCCGATCCACGTTCCGTTTCCTCACGTTTCTTAAACACACACACACGCTGGCGGGAAAAGCCGTGGCAAACATTCATTGATCCCGCGAGAACTTCTGTCTCCTTCGTTTGTATATTCAATCGAACACTCCACCGAAAAGTTTCGTTCGTTCCCTGTTCACGCCATCGTTGCCTATTTCCACCTCCCACAGGTTATATTTCAGACGCGTCTTTCACGATTCCGGAAACTGGTGGACGCGCACTAGTGCCGACGCAAATAAATCGAAACCTAGCACGGAAATCCTGCTCGAGAGTGGACTCTTCCGGTTAATACAAATTCATAATGTCCGTCTATTATCCTTTGGAACTGTGTTTATACACCGACAATAGGACACAATTCTAATTGACCGAATGGTAATTCGTTACGTACGTTACGAGACAAGATGGCGGCACGTTAACCCGCGGCCGTCTTGTTTCTTTACGGTGGAGCGTCGACTGGGTCGCCATAATTCCAGGCGAATATTACGAGGCAGCATCTGGCATTACACGGCGCGCGGTGAAGCATTGCTAGTAATAGTTACAGTTTCGAATATAGATTGCGTGTAAGTGATCGATAATATACGGGTACCGGTGGATCTGACCTTGGCACGTGTGCCCTTCGTTTCGCTGCAACAAATATGAATAAACTGTTCGTATTCATCGGGTGGGCGGATAATGGACAAATCAGCTGAGTTTATGTAACTTCATTGTTTGGGGAAGTAGACCGGGTATAGGAAATGGAATATCGTTCCCTCTTCGGTAACGGTTCGGTTCCACGGCGGCCATTATGCGATTCTAGGTTTTGGACACGTGCTAGAGTCTGACTGGTCGAATTTACAATGGAAATTCGTCGTTTTATTAGAAACGGTTATATTGTGATATTTCACGAGATTTCGTAACAGGGTGACAAAATGGAGGTACACTACACGTCAATTACACTCCCTGACACACGATTATTCGGGTGAAAACAAAAGTTCACGAGAATTCGCAAACAATTTTTTAACAAAATAGAAACCATGTAAAGCAAAAATTCATTAAATTTACAACTTCTTCAGGCGATTGAAAAAAGATTGCAGATATTGACGTAATAGTAGTTCGCAAGATAAAAAGACGTCTATTTTATATGTATATCAAAGCTGAAGTAGATTGGTTAATTCGTTAGTGAGATGTGGCAATCAATATCGAAAACATGGTTTCTTGAAAAATCGTTATAACTTCATTTTAATGATGTGTAGCATTTCACGTTGGAAACACATTTTCATAGTGTCATAATTTAAAAAAAAACAATTTTATAAAATCTGATTCTTTTACTTCTCCAAACGAGAATACCCTCTAAAGCCAGTAATATTTCTTCCGAGCAAATCGCCTGAAAATCACAACCAGCACGACAATAAACCCACGTTCTTATCCCGCCATTTGATATTGAAAGTGTTGATCACACCTGTTCCACCATTCGAACGGTCCCCGGATATTACCCACGTCGCGACGCACGTGGCGCACGTGTGCCACGTGTTAACGTGCGCGCACACAGTTCGAAGCTAATTAGTCGAAAGGTGGGGGAGTCGAGTCGTGTACGTTCGGTTACGAAACAGACGCGGATAATGAGTCCCTTTCGCCCCCTCTGTTACAGCGGCAACTGCAGGTTCAGCGCGGCGGTGTTGCCCCCGGTTCGTGTGTTCCTGGTGGTCGCTGTGTGGGCGCCCAGCGCCCTCGTGCTGCTCGGCTGTTACATGTACGTGTACCTGGTGGCGCGTGCACACGCGCGCGCGATCTACACGGTGGAGCTGTCGTTCAGACACCAGACCCAGACCCTGGCGTTGCCGCGTTACGGTCAGACGTTGGCCGTCACCGTTGGAGCGTTCCTCGTTCTCTGGCTGCCCTTTCAAGTGAGTAAAACAATGGAACACCGTATACATACACCGACGAGCAAACTCGGCTTCGGCTAGGGGGAAAAAGTGAGATAGACGAAGGACCTCCTACCCATTTAGTTTTGGGACTTACTGAAATTTATGACAAATTAATATACGGTTTAATATTTATTTCTGTACTTGAAATAAATTTAATAAATGGTAGGAGACTTTTCTTCCACGCCATTTTTTCCCCTAGCGGGAACCGAGTTTGCTCGCGAGGGTACATATACCATCGGCCGAAAATATGGTCTAATAATTAACCCTTTCGATACTACCGGTGATTATAGTCACCTAATTTCGTACACTCACTGTGTCCTATCAGTGACTATAGTGACCCATTGATATTTTATATTGGTTCAAAACTTTAGTCGAATGTAGTACAGTTGTTTTATTTCTATGGTAAAATAACAAAAATACGGCAAAATATACGTTCGCGTTGTAACTGGCCTGTACAGTGAAACCTTATCTGCGACGCGAAAGTCAAATTGACGAGGAAATATTATTTTGCAAAAAGTTTGTTACTGTTTTCCATCAATAGACTACGGAAGTTTATGCAAATTCACAATTGCGGACAGGAATATCGAAAAATTAACTTCATAATAAAATATATTTATGAATATTAGTGACAATCAGTTGGTAGATAATCCTTTTCTATTACGGAACTTCCGTGTAAGTGTTTATTCGCAATAATATTTGTTGTATCCTTGTAATCATGCTTGAATAAAAGAAAAAGGAAATTATGTGCCATTATGCCTCAAGAGGTTAAAATAGGACAGAATTTTCGGATTTCATATTAAAGGCTTTAATACGTTAGTAATAACACAGAAATAGTATTAAATTTTAGTGATATCTTTACTTTAGTGTGTGTTCGTTGGAATTTATGGCGAGCTTTAGTTTGTCTGGTAGTTTTAATATTATCGTATTGAAATATATACTTGGGATACCCTACATAGGTGCACAGTTTCAGGGATCAAAATTGCGGATATGCAACGGGTATACATAACAAGTTCGTTGTAATAAATGGAAGATAAGAAACTCATTATTCGACGAACGGATATGAGATTATCGGATACGAGATTATGAAAATATAAGATCATTTAATTATAGTATAAGATCTATATACATATTACCTTCATGCATATAAAATGACGGATATCATCGATTGGTACGTTTGATTATATTCTGCACGGAGGAAAATTATGAACAAAGGTCACGATTTGCATGTTAAATGAAAGCGCGTATTCCGTTGTTTTCGAGACAATCCAGGATAATCCAGTCCGAATTTATTGGAAATTCTTTCGAGATAGATTAAAATCGACGACGATTGGAAATTACATTCTTTTGTAAGTTATTTGAACATTTTTTTTATGTTCCAACAAAAGTCTCAAAGACTGTTCAAACAGAGTGACGTGTCGTATGTGAATGATTCGGAAAACCACTCGAGGAACAATGTTTGAAAATGCATTGTTATTTCCCTATAGGAAATATTAAGGTTATAACAAATTTTTTATTTTTTACTTGTACAACAACTTTCGTTCGTTCGCCACGCCAGACCGTTTTTATTCCAATCTACTACTTGCGTGCCGGAAGTACGCAGCATTAATTCTACTTTGTCGGCAGCACGTGGCTTCTGAGGTCTCTGATACAAAATTTAAGTCTGACGTGAAGCCATATTTCTTCTCCGCGGAGCATATACTTTCTTGTCCACTTCGCTCCTTCAAAGGTGAATCTGCGATGCTCGACACGAAAGAAATTGCAAAACCGTAGAAGTCTTGTTGCAGTGTGAAAACACGCGACGCTGTGTACTGTCTGCATTTTCATACGGAGCTTCAATTCCGAAAAAATCGACGGTGGAAATGAATTGGACCGTTGGGATACAGCGTTACCGCGGTATTTATCTTCGGTCGTAACTCAATACAAGTTCACAATGATAAAAACATATACATGAAAAATCGTTTAAGTTACACGATTTTATTAATATGTGTATATATAAACGAAATTAAATACTAAAGAAAAACATGTATCCAAAAAATACACTAAAAAGTAAAAAATAATTTTTATAGCTATTATAAAGACAAAATAGAATCGTGGGGTTTTCATAATGGATTATCTACCAATACATATAATTCACTTATGGGCGCCCCACGATTTTAGTTTTAGTCACACAGTTTTATTGAATATATAATTTGTTTTATACTGTTTGGTGTTTCGCGGTTTCGTAATAAATTTTACCGAAGAATAGTTGGCGCGAAATATTAGTGTTTCTTAACAATCTTTATCTTAAAAAATAGCTTCGGATTTGCTCCCTCGGATTCTAAAATTACTCCTATTGCAACGTTTATATTTAATGAAATTATAACTTTGTTTAATGGATCAACTATAGTTCCGATAAAAGAAATGGAATATCCGTCTATTTTATTTTCACGTAAACGATCCCTGGTAGTTTCTGTTTCATCGTAACTTTCGCACAAACTTTGTATGACGTTTCAGGTATAACCTGCAACGAATAGTTTGTTCGGCGCTACAGACGATGATGGTTTTACCTTTTTCGCGAGAAAAACACGCACACCAGGGGTAGTTTTACAAATAACTCGCGACGTACCAGAAAACACGAAATTCTCAGACAGAATCATTGGTTGTCAAACCGGGAAACTCACTATAGGGACGGGAATATTTCATAACAAACGACGTAACAACGTGTGAGACATATAATTTCAAAATGAACTACGTCTTCGAAGCACGCGCACCAATTTTCCCTTCTTTCTATCAATTTTCCCCCATTCGAAGCGGAATATCAAAACAAAATGAACGATTCCCTTTTACACAATATTACCGTCGTGAAATAAAACGCTTTCTTGTACTTCGATGTTTTTCGCAAGAAAACTTGATGTCGACAATTCAGTTCCATTCGAAAGACACAGTTTTCGTGTTCATTGATTCAGAAATTTCAGATATTTCTCCAGAAATATTAATACTCTCGTGAAATAATAATTTGATTTTATTATGATGAAAATTTCAATTGGCGTACTTAAAAGGAACAAAAATAGGAAATTGAGGGTGACGCAAGTAGAACAGGTCGCCCATTGTCAGACAAGTGGAATAGGGTATTCATTGAAACCAGTAGTATAGGTCAGCCATTCGTCCCAGGACAAGTAATATAAACTGTTCAATTGACAAACATTAAAAATTTATCTCTGTGCGAGATGTGACAATACAATTTCGGGAACAGTTCATTCAAATATTTCATTTTGAAAATTAAATACACAGGGTGTTAAAAAAAAAAGTGTTCAAGATTTTAAGAGCTTTAACTCGGGCGACTGGTGATCGATGGACATCGCGAGAATCGACAGGGCCGAGCGTGGTAATGAGGTTTTCGTGACGCCGTCTGTCCTCGGTCGACCTCGGGGGGGGGGGAAACTTCCGGCCACGCGTTGAAGGGTGAAAAACGACGGAACTTTCGAAATTGCGGCAGCTAGGAAGAAGAAGAAGAACTTACGGAAACGAGAACGCCGTCGACTTAACCACGGTGATAGAAGAGTCGTGCTTCGGGAAACTCGCGTTCCGGCCGTGCAGCAACTTCTCTGGCCATGTTTTTGCGCTGATTTTCTTGGCTACCGCGAAAGAAAACTTTCGGAACCACGACAATTACAAAACGTTTCATCGTGCTTGCCTGCGTGGCCAACGATCCTCTCTCCTTCTCTCTGCGATATACGTTCGTGTTTGTATCCTGGCCAGTGAAAGTAAAGCTACCGTTGCCAGCTAATTAAGGGAACTTTAGCCGTGAACATTCATTCTCTCCGTAAATCGTAAAATTCACGACGACAAATATATACCGGGTGATTCGCGAGAAATAGAACACCTAAATGTCTCAATTAGGATTGAAGATGGAAGAATATTTTAAAGAGAAAATTTGTACTGTTCAAGGAGGCAAATATGATGATATAAAAAACTTTCTGATTATTGTTGTCTTTAATGTCTTCTGAGGATGATCGATGGTCTTTTAAATGACATCATATATTTTTAACTTCATAATGTAGTAGCTGATGTCAAGACAAGTTCAACGATGTGGTATAGTCTCTTTTCTTTGGCCTTTAATTTTCTGACGATCTGATAGGTTTGCTACTTTACTTGACTAATTCAACTTCCATCGAGTGTTCCCTCGAGAGTAATTATAATTTGATAAGGACTTTTCGGAGACCTAGTTAGGGTCGTGTGAAGTATGATTATGGAGAATTGTATCTTGTTAGGATAAAAGCTGGAGGAACCTTTGTTGAAGACACGTTGTACATTGTGTATGGTTACCTCGACGGAGAAATTTGTTTTCTGTTTAACATTTATAACGGAAAAGTTTAGATTACCCCGCTGATGGTAGAATATTCGTTGATGCTCGCGGATTATCCTTGGGAATATTTCGAAAAAGTTCGAATATGATACGATTATTCGCTACTTTCGTTAAAAGATTTCTTTCCAAACCTTTTTCGAGCTTCGAATATAAACCGTGACAGTGACCGTTAACCACGACGTTGAATTGCTGAATGTCTATAGTAACTAGATGGCAGGATAACAGATGAAGAATGCTCGAAATCGACGAAGCGAAAAGCGACAGCGTACTACCGTCTATGTTCATAATAAGTAGAAACAGTCTGACATGGTCAGACATATTAACCAGATCTCGTTCACTGTATTATACGCCAATCATAAAAGTTTTAAACATTATCTTCAAACATGAAACTTACTAGTAAGCGTACGAAAAAATAACGGCCATCATATTTAGGTTGGTATTGTGGTTTTAACTTAATTCATCGAGGGAGAATTGATCATTTTCTAGAAATAGATATGATGTTTGCGTGTGTCAACTTAAATGCCGCATCCTGTATATCACGATTGCAACATGAGATGCGTAGATTATTCTCGAACAAATCCAACATATAATATGCAAAATTCAAAATACAATCCGTATATTTATTAATAGGGGTGTATATAAAAATGCAGTTTCATCGCTAAGTGTTCAATCGCTTCTATTAAGATACACAAATACGTTATACAGCTTTTTTCATGTTCCCGGGGTGAAAACAACCAACTGGCAGATACACAGTTATCGGTTCCAGCCTCCATTGAGGCTGGTCGAGACAAATGGCCCACGTTCACCACCCCCCACGCACATATCACGATATACTTCGATCCTATTGTTTATGCTACACGGACATTAGACACCGCCCACACGGATGAGCCGAGCGAATATCTATTCGGCTGAATAAAGATAATTTCCGAATTCCCGATCGGTCCACTGTGTCCTTGGCCTTTCCTGCAACATGGTCGATCACGGTGATCTTCTAATTTTTTATGGGATTACATACCTTTGAGCTGTTAAATAGGAGGGAAAATACAAAAAATAGTGTTGTATATAGACAATTATTGTTTATTAAAAATTCAACATATACATTTTATTATATGTTATTTACTTACTAATTTCTAAAAAAAATTAAGCAATATATCTATCACCAGAAGAAAATTACTGTCATTTAAAAACGTTTTACTCGAAATGCAATTTATCGATTCCAGGAATATTTAAAAGACTACTGAGTACTATACATAAGAGAACTTTGACACCTGCAATTATGACGAACCCATTTTCCACCAATAATCATCATTTACAATGTCTCTAACTGACCTGGAAACCTTCATTTCGCAGACCTGTATGCTGCTGGACATCTTCTGCGGCACGGACATCCTCTCAGAATGGGCGGTCGTGTGGCTAGGTCTACCTATCATGGCGCACAGCGGCGTGAACCCTTGGATCTACGCGTTCCATCACGGCGAGATGAGAATCGCCGCGGGCAAGATCACCGAGGAACTGGTCGCTCTGTTCGGCGTGACGCCCAGTCGATACGGTTGCTCTCCGATTCGTCGTGGATCGAATACAAACTTAGAATTGGCAGAAGTGAATAACAGCAACGAGGGCAGACGTCATCCCGTGGAGGATTGTTTCGCAGCGAAACCAACCGCGACCCTCTTCGCGGGAAGGCGAGGTCAAGATATGTCTGGTATGAACACGGACATTTCACCAGAAAGGAACACATCGTCCGCCAGCAGACAGGTGGACGTGGTCGAGGAGGACATCCACGACCTGACAAAGATGCTCGATCTGAAGTATATCATCGATCGAAACCACATGATCGACTCGAACCACAATATCGACAAGCTCAAGAATCTCAAGTACCTGCTTGACCCGACGTTCAACAAGATCCGACACATGAGACAGCTGAACCACAAACGGCTGACCAGCAAGAACTTCGCGAAACCGTCCGAGCCGAAGTTCACCTCCTACCAGAACCTGAAGAGCGACGGTACCCTGAACCGGAAAGCGTTGCAGATGAACACCATGTCGGATCCTGTTCTGAGCGCTGACAGTCCAACGGTGCACACCAAGGACTTCCAGGACAGCGACAGCCTGTCAATCGTCCGACGTAAGTCTCAGGCTTCCAGTTAGTGGTCACGCGATCGACACGCACAGATACTCGGTACAGAATCTGGATCACAATAGATGCGACGGCGGGCTGGCCAAACACGTGATGCTGTCCCGTCAGCTGGAGAACCAAAGACGATTCCATATATACCCACGACCACGAATGAAGATTGGTAATCACTTCGATCGTACCAGCCCGAACTTGAATCTAAGACTTCAGAACAGTTACACGTCGCCGACGACCCCAGAAAATGCCCGGCCAAGTCTGCTGGAGAGCCCCAGACAGAAGACGTCCCCCAAGCACATGGTCATCACCTCGAACAGACTGGCCAACCTGGCTCACCCGGATCATGCGACGTCGAGATGTCTGGATCCTAGAACAGAAACAACGTCCAGAATACTACAGGCCAGGCGGAACATGGAGATACTGAAGCATTCCGAATCGATCAACACCATCGAGCCGATGACTCACATGAGATTACTAGAGCCTTACAGAGTCATGGAGACTCTGACTGTCCCGACGATACATTCAGAACCGCCGAGTCCTATAGATCCTCTTCCCCTAGCTCCTCTAGAGGAAGAGAGCACAAAGATCACGGAGAAGCTAAGTCCACCTATGAACATAGTCCACGCGAAATCTCCAGTGGCCAACAGGCGAAGTCCAGTCAGACACTCGGATCCGGTGATACCCTCTGTCCTACTGAACATCGAAGACTACAGCGAGGATCGTCTATCCACGGACAAATCTAGCAGGGACATTTCCTTGAGCAACATCCCATCTGCGTGTCTGGCGACGTCGATCGAGCCTATAGACCTGTTCGAGGCTCTAATGAAGAACTCCGAGAGGTTCAGAGAAGGTAGACTACCCGATCCGATCTTCGCCGAGCACGATTCGACTAGATTCAGCTCGAGAAGACCGTCCGACTCGAGATGGTCCGAGTCCTCCAGAAGCCAGGAGGTCCTGTCGAACGTCGCCGAGCATCAAGCCTTCCCCTCGTCGTACTCGGTGAACAACTTTCAAGTCTGCAACAGCGGCAGCGATCTAAACGATCTGACGTCCCTGGATCCGTTCATGTGCCCCGACGCGCTAACATCATCCCTGCGAGAGTCCTTCTTTAGCGCCCCGTCTGTGCCCGACTCGGAGATCTTCACGTCGTTCGAGGAGAACGATGAGTCGATCCGAACACCAGACTCAGAACGTGACTCGTCCACCTACGAATCCGCATCCACGATGAACCCCAGGAGGGTGGGGAGTGTTATGGATCATCAGACCAGGTCCACGGATTCGGTCTTTCAGGACAGGTGTCTCTCAACGAGGTCTTGCACGATCCTGCGACTGGAACCGTCCCTGCACCGAAGTAGACTGCGTGTCAGGCCAGGCGCGGATTATATCCTCAAGAACGCGTCGAGCAAGACCAGTCAACGGCTGGCTCCGCTCGCTATACCGACGCCCACGGAAATCTGCACGCCCACGTTCGAGTTTGTCTCGGAGATCAAAGGAGACAACGGCGTCGGTGTAAGAGTATAAGACCCGTTCCTGAACGCTTGAACCGTGTTTTCACAGGGAGGTAGTCCCTAATCTAGTTCGAAGTTTCCCACGGTTATGGGGCACAGTCTGGAAGAAGATACTTTCACATGTGTCCGCGTGGTGGCGCCACGAGCTGATGTCTGTATTTTTATAACGGTTCAGAGCTTGCTGGATATTATTCTGTCTATTTGCTGTATTGTGGGGAGCTTTCTGTGAATCGATGAGAAATAGGAACTTTTCGTGCTGGTCTGTGATAGTGCGACGCGTCTTCAGCGGGATCGTGGGACGAACAAGGGTAAAGAAAGTCGTGTACTTTTTCGATGAACTAGAAGTGTCGATCGTAATTTCGTCGAAGAATGCTAGCAGTCGAAAGCATTTTAACGTATGCCTCCTCTGACGCATTGTCTGAAACTGTGCCAAGCTCCGTGAAACCTTTTCTTCGACGAAGAGAGAATTAGGTAAACCCGTGTTACCGTTCGTGTACCTGATTAATGTCGATGATTCGCTGCAGACGAAGAAAACACGGTGTCGTTTCTTCGTTTTTTCGTCCGAGGAACTTGTAACCTTTGTGGACGGTGGATGCGCGGCGGCCATCTTTGTTTGGGTTACGATACCGCCCACGAGTATTCGCCCATTCATTTTACTGAAAAATTAGCGAAATTTTACAAACGAACTTATTTTCTTCACAATAACATCCACGAAGCAAGGGAAACTAATGGTTATTCGTTGAAAATTTTCGAAACGAAATGTAAACTGAGAACATGTTAACCTATCTTCGATGGAAAGACAAATACTCATGAATGATAGTGTCACCGACGAGGTATAAAAATATACCTTTCATCTTATGGGAGTTGGTGGCCCACCTAAACTGTAGCACCGACACCTTAAAAAGCCTGTGATTTTAATGACCTCCACGTTATGAGAACGGTAAATCTACGGTGGGTAATGACACTAAAATGGAAATGGGGTAACGTAAGCCCAGAAGAGTGGGCTGCAAAAATACATTGGATGAAATATCTACTACTATACCTCGTCTGTGGTAGTGTGTATGAATTAGGCGAAGAAGAATCGCTGGTGGTGGAAATAGCAGTTTCATACGATATAATAGTCTCCAAGTTGTTCTGCCCCACAACGGTTTGCATCCTTTTTATACTACAAGTGATTTCTGCGTACCACTTATAGCGTCACGCTTGCTGTATGGTTTATCACGCAGGAGAACCAACAAGTCAAAAACGAAAAAATCACTTGTATTCTGAAGAAGGATGGGAACTGTTGCAACGCCAAAACGACCGCTTGGAAACTAATATACAGTAAATCATCGATGAGTGTCCGAAGGTTCCTGGGCATTTATTGTTCAGGCGTCATCTCCACCACTGGGTGCTTGACTGGGTCCTCGGGGACCTCCACCAGTGGTGGGGATGACGCCTGAACACTAAACTAAGCCCAGGAAGCTGCCAACACTCCTCGATGATTTAATGTACAGCTCTTACCTGGTCAAAGCAGTTGACCAGAAAAGCGAAAATTGATCGACGAGCGATTCGTTTTTCTCCTACATCTTAAAGACAAAAAGCATAACCAACGACAACCAATATCTTGCACAGTCAACGAAAATTACCCCCTCTTTATTGTCCGCGTTACCATTTCCCTCCGCAATGCTAGTCACGGCTAATTATAATTTTAATTTAAGCGATACGACCTAAAAAATTTGACGAACAAGATCGTTCCCGAAGAATCTGGCGATCGAATAAGGAATCCTCTGCAGAAATTTGACCCGCCAGGATAATCGGTTTAGGTCAACGATCACGTGAACCTCGGCAACATTAATGTCGGAGAATGTACATATTTTAGTGTAAAATAGTAAGAAATCGTTGTTCCAATGTTTGTCTTATTTAACGAGAATTGTTTCGGATCGCGAGGGATGTACTATATGTAGTGAGCTACTGGTCAAAAGTTGAAGGTCACTCGTCCTTCCGAGCTTATAACTAAAAAATATTTCACTTCAGAGGGTGTTTACAAGATATACAATAATGAGCTTGTTAAAATTAACTTTAACTTAAAAGTTAATTTAACAAAAACTCAAGAACTTTTAAAACCTAAAGAAACTTCAAAAGCTAACCTAATCTGAGCTTCTTTTTTGTCCACATAACCTCCTTTTCATTTTACAAAATTTTTACAGATTCTTAACATTCTTTCCATAAGTTTCTATAAGGAATCTTTTTCAATTGATACCTTAAAGCATAAACGACACTTATAACAGGAAATCCCATTGATCAGTGTATAATTAAAGTTTAAACACCTAACTTTTCACAATGAAGAATATAAAGCAAGATGACAACCTCGAACTTTTGGCCGGCAGTGTAGATTTACTTAAAGACACTGTACAGTAGAAGAAACGTAAGGACCAAAAAATTTTCGACACTCGATCTCCGCTGGGCGTCGCCACTGGCGACTCGCCAGTCCCTCCGTAGCTCGTAATGTACGTTAGAGAGCAGTTCTCCAGTGTAATTAATTCTGTTCTTTTTTGTAATATAACTCGGTAACAATCCCGTTAGTTTCGCCGTTCGAGTTAGTTCGCGGTTAACTTGAAACCGATGTTCTTGAACTTTTTATATCACGCTGCTACTAATGTTCGCTTCGCTGATCGGTGATTCGGAGGCTTTTCACGGCCTGGAATCGTAACAATTGTCAAAAAAATTTATCACTGTTGGTACTGTTGCGATCGAATGGCACACCGATAGTTAGACCCGAGAAATTTTAACGGTGATAACTTGGTAAGTTCGCTTTGCTAGCTCGAATACCTAAGAACTATAGTAGACTCGCGATAATTACCCGCGTTTGGGACTCTAAGGATGGGCAGTTGTAGGAAACGGGTAATTATCGAGAGCCAATAACATGCGGGATCTCCTCGCAGTTTGGTCGACTGGACGTCACCTGATCAATTATTGGCTATAGAAGGAAACAGAGTGGAGTGCGTGCGCGTGTGTAAGTAATGCGTGCGACCAGTTATCGCGAGTTTACTGTACACACACACAGAGTATCCCACCTAATGTGAGCATTTTTAGTATCTCACTTGCTTTTGATTTGCAAAAAATTTATTTTCATAAATGCTCAAAGTGACGTGCATCAACTTCGATACATTTTTGCATTGATCCTACTATCGTAGTTTCTTTATTATTTAAATCTACTCTCATACATTTGTGGATTTTTCGTACTCGAGGTCACATGAAAGTGCCACTATTATGGGCCATTGGATTGGTCTTGATCTCAATAATCACACCACACTGGTAAAAATATAGTCCTATTTAAAAAAAAAAATATCCATGACCATGAAATTTCGAAGAACATGATCTTGAGAGAAATGTTTGCTTATCACAGTATTTATTCCTTCTAACCAAATAATACTTTCCCCTTACATCTTTGTTTATATCTACAAAAACATATAAGATATTCAAGGTGATCTCGTTAGGTGGGACACCCTGTATGTACATGTATATCAGGACCGGTTACACGGACCCCTTCAACCACTCAATGCCAATTAAAACTACTTTTATACATAAGTTCGTAGAAAGGTTGCCACCGTGGAAAATTATTTTTGTCAGGCATCCGCGGTATTTTTTAAAACACCAGAGCCCCTCCTTCCCTCCCTCTCTGCGCTCACCCTGTGTGTATGCGTGTACGTGTACAGTTTCCGTCGATAAAACGTATTTTTCGGTGCTCAACGATAGAGCCAGTGTACTGTAACGTGTGAACTACGGATGTTTATGCATTTATCTCGCAAACAATCTCGTGGCTGACATATAGTACTTTTGAACGGAAAAGTAACCAAATTTTTTGCCACACCCTTACAATACAGAAATAAATTTTCCGGTGACTCTGACTTTTCTGAAAAAGCTTGTGGAAATGAATGTCCGAATGAACATCCGCGGTCTGGTAACGTATAGAATACAGATTCTTATACAAAATTGTAGTTTGCAAAACGCGTTCGTTTTTCTAAAAGGTTTCCTTGGATTAGAATTCCTCTAATGGAAGATTGATCATTTACAAGTGAGAAAGAAACCCTTGCCAGAGATGGACGACGACCACTCGTTTGGATTCTCAATCGTTTTCGATAGATTCTGAAAGAGAGTTTACTTAAACGGTAAGAACGCTGCTCGAGATAATCGGAGGATCATCTGTATGACATCAAAAACTTGATTAACGTTTCGTGGACGCTTTCTCAACGTGTAAGAGATGAATGAATACCATGCAGTATAATCAATTAAATTTTCACATCAATTCTAGTAACAATACTACTATTGTATATCAAGTATAAAATATTTCTTTCGATACCGGATTTTTCACTGCGTTCGAGCAGTGTATTCGGAAAACAGAATCTAATAACGATTCGTCCAAGATGGACGATCACGTGACTCGGATGAAATTTATTTTTCTGGACGTTGTTTCTATCCAACGCGCTTGGCCACCTACGAAACACTTTAGCGTACTTACGCGAACTCGTTATCGTGTCGAGTACAAAACAGATCTCTATTCCAAGCGTTTCTACTAGGAAAATAGTTTATTAACGACTTCACGATGATGTGTCACGTCTACTCGAATACAGGTCAAAGTGTTTCCTCGAGTTGAACGTTTTTTTTCGCCGTGTCGAGACTGCAAACGATGTACAATCAATTGTATTTTGTTTTTTTTTTTCTAACTGTATGTAACGACTTAACGGTATACAGGTTCCGCGTTTCGTCTGTCTTCCAATCGTGTGGACGGGATGAGGAAACGGAAATGGACCGAGGACCCTCTCGACTTTTCGATTTTTGCGGTTTCCGGCGCTGTGTCGCCATTGTTGATCGCTTAACCTGAAATTTCCGTACAAATAAAGTTTGAGATTCACGCTGGTTCAGAGTGGGGAGGCGCCGATATATACATATATTTTTATGAAGAAACTCTATAATCGTTCTCCGTAGATATATACATACACACACAGAAAACTGTTCCGAACGAACTGCAGAATCACTAACGACAGTCTCCTATGGAACGGGGTAAAGTTTACCTGATAAACTTTTCCTCTGGGGAACCTTTCTTTTCACTGCAAATTTATATTGATCGAAAGTACGTATCAAATAACATGCAAAAATAGCAATTTTGAGTTTACGAATTCATCTATTGAAATGTTATTAAGCAAAAGATACGCCGAAATAATGCTTTAAAAACAAAAACGACAAAACAACACGGGTAATAGTAGTTGTTATGCAAATGCAGACATACAATTCAAGTCTAGCCAACTCAAACCACTCTGTTTACAAATTTAAACTGGAAACATGAACTCTACTCCTCAAACAGCACATGACGCCTTAAAGATGGCTTAAAGGCGCCTTAGACCTAAAATAGCCGTAAAATGTGCGTCTTCAAGGCGTCATGTGCAATCTGGGATCCTATCCCTCCCAGAACCAATCATATGCAACAACCACCATTACAGTCGCAATAAAGATTAGAAAATATATCAGAATTTCGCAATCTTTTTCACCTCATCACTTTTCAATGAAACGATTCCTGAACTCAAAATTGGTATCGTTTAACTCAATACAACAAGTACTTTCCATACATATAAGTTCCAAATCTAAAAAGAAGGTTTCCCGGAGGGAACGCTCACATGTGGAATGTTGTCTAGCGCGGCGAGCGTGTACATCGTTATTCACGATGAATAATCGGGGCCCAGTTACGTAAAAACTGACTAATCCATCGAGAAACTATTGTACCCGCGACGAAGTGTCGTGAAACGATCGCGGACAGTCGTCTAACCGTCAACGAAGAATGATTTACCGATATATAATTCGACAGGAAGACCACGAGGAAAATGGCTGTACTGATTCGCTTCAGGTTTATTACGTGTATTATATCTTCCTTTTACATAGTATTTAATACTACTGGCTCGCGATACGATGTAATAACGCAATGATCACGCGTGCACCGGATATGCGGTCAGTCATGTTTTTGTATATATGAAGAAAAATATAATATATTAATTAGATCGAATGTGTACATTCCATTCAGTTCCCCCGAATAAATATTGCGATAATTGAAATGCATTTCCGATGAGATCTTTTCTACACACCAACATCTACTAACCACCGACCACCACTAACGTTGCTGCGTCGCGCACATGAACGGACGACTGATCGGAAAAGCGCGCTGGTAATTAACGCTCCTTAAGTGATCGGTTCCTGGAAATTTGGACCTCTACACTTTACAGTCCCGAGATAATCAATTACCGAGGGACTACTGTACATATCCAATGTAATATTTTGTGACATTCTTCGGGGGCTATAGAGCCCCCTTCTCATTTACCAACTAATGAGAAGGGCATGATTTCTTCGTTTTGCATTAGATACAACGTTCAAAGAACGTAGAGTACTATTCTCTAACGGCTGGAAACCAGTAATGACAAGAACATTGTTAAAATCGTATTTGTTTGCAACGGTTGACACTGTATCTCGCCATGCGTACCCTGTTTAGTTCACTTTGAATAGCTCTGCCAAAGTTCTATGGAGAAGTTACGTCTTGATCAAGCATTCAGTTTGAAGCTAGAAGAACGTAGATTAATCTCCTGTCATTGAAAATAACAATAAACGACCAGAACACTGTTAAAATCGCATTTAATCGTGGAATACCACTATTTTTTTTTACTGGTGGCGCCACCCGTGGCGAATCGCTGAAACTGCTAGCCTATAATTAGCTAGTAGTTTCAGCGATTCGCCACGGGTGGCGCCACCAGTCAAAAAAATAGTGGTATTCCACGATTAAATGCGATTTTAACAGTATTCTGGACAATTATTGTTATTACCAATGACAGGGGATTAATCTACGTTCTTCAAGCTATAAATGGAAGACTTGGTCAAGACGAAAGCTGTCAGTATAACGTTGTAAGCGTTGTCCAAAGTGAACTAACCGGGGTACGCATGACGAGATACAGTGTCAACCGTTGCAAACAAATGCGTTTTTAACGATGTTCTTGTAATTACTGGTTCCCAGCCGTTAGATAGTATTGTTCTACATTCTTCAAACTTCGAATTTAATGCGTGACGAGGAAAAATGATGTCCGTTCAGCGTTGTAAATGTGATCGAAATGTTTTGCAATTAGGATTGCCGCCTCATAAGGGGCTACGGTAATACAGGCATAACTAATTTTACTAATTCAGGGGTTCTGCACTATTGGGTCCATGCATTAAGTCCTGAGGGACAATTTGAGACTAATAACGTTCATTTTAAGTGCTTAATTATTGAGATATTTGAATTTTTCCATCACTGGAAATTTTCACTCACCTGTCGATATAATTTGGCTAGCAGTTTGAGTGAATTGCCACGGGTGGCGCCACCGGTCAAAGAAATAGTGGTACTCAACAATTAAATGCGATTTTAACAGTGTTCTGATCGTTTATTGTTATTTTCAATGACAGGAGTTTAATCTACGTTCCTTCAGCTTCAAACTGAATGCTTGATCAACACGTAACTTGTCCATAGAACGTTGGAAGAGTTATTCAAAGTGGACTAAACAGGGTACGCATGGCGAGATACAGTGTCAATCGTTGCAAACAAATGCGTTTTTAACAATGTTCTTGTAATTACTGGTTCCCAGCCGTTAGATAGTATTGTTCTACATTCTTCAAACTTCGAATTTAATGCGTGACGAGGAAAAATGATGTCCGTTCAGCGTTGTAAATGTGATCGAAATCTTTTGCAATTAGGATTGCCGCCTCATAAGGGGCTACGGTAATACAGGCATAACTAATTTTACTAATTCAGGGGTTCTGCACTATTGGGTCCATGCATTAAGTCCTGAGGGACAATTTGAGACTAATGACGTTCATTTTAAGTGCTTAATTATTGAGATATTTGAATTTTTCCATCACTGGAAATTTTCACTCACCTGTCGATATAATTTGGCTAGCAGTTTGAGCGAATTGCCACGGGTGGCGCCACCAGTCGAAAAAATAGTGGTATTCCGCAATTAAATGCGATTTTGACAGTGTTCTGGTTGTTTATTGTTATTTTGAATGACAGGGCATTAATCTACGTTCTTTTAGCTACAAATCGAGTGCTGTATCTAAACGGAAGCTATCCGTATAACGGTGTAACAGCTGTCCAAAGTGATCTAAACGGGGTATGCATGATGGGATACACTGTCAATCCAAACCTGTTGTTGTTAGGGTTGCCACTCCATAAGGGGTCAACGTTAATATTAGCATAAATAATTGTACTAATTCTGGTGTTCTGCAATACTGGGTTTACGCATTAAGTCGTCAGGAATAATCTGAGACCGACGACGATCATTTTGGGCGCCTAATTACACCGGAAGATAGTTGGCGCCGAATGTTAACGTAACCGAGACTATGGTTTCACAAGTTTCGAGGTTGTTGGTACAAGAATAAATGAAAATATCATTTTTATTAAGAAAACTATATTTATACAGATTTCTTTAAGAATAAATAAAGTAAGAGGAATTAGGAGGAAGGTGTTGATGGGATTAATGAACAACGCATATGTACCGTTTTATTATCTTTTATTTAAACAATCGTAAGAAAATATACAATTTACAATGGTATTTGTATAAATTTAATAACAATTGCTTTAAATACTACTTATACATAATACTACTTAATATAAAGGCACCATTTTCGCGTGGCCGACACAAGATCAGGTTGCTTCTATCTGTTTTGAATAAAAAGAAACATAAATGATTATTAATGTATACGAGTGATACGCTAGTTTAGATTAAAATGTGCGAGAAGGGTCAAGGAATCCCAATACGCAAATATGTCGTTACGTTTCCTGCCTCGCGTCGCCTTCACAGGAGCCCGCGGTTGCCCATCACTGATTTAGGTGGAATCAAAAGTTCTACATCTATCCACCTTTCACAATTACCTGTATAAATAACTTCAATCTTCATTCTCTAATGCTATCAGCACTAAAATCCCTTAACGCATGACTTCTTTCTTGAGCCTAAACCTATAAAAAAGCTAATATTAATACATTAATATACAGAGTGGGACAATAAGTATGTCCACTTTGAATATTGTCGTTATTTGTAATAATATGAAAAAATGTTATTTACAAAACTTACAGGGTATAGAGAGAGGCATATTGTGACACAAATATTTTCTGCGTGGTTGAAGGCATAGAGGAGATTCCAAAATCATCTTCGGCAATATTCAAAGTGGACATAATTACTGCCCCACCCTGTATAGCCTGATCTGGAGTAATAAATACTAAAGCAGGGAACTAAGTATAATGTTCAACGAAGTAACAATAGTCAGATATATATACATTCAATTGATTGTGCTTTATTTCTTGTACAAAATATTTAAAATGTCATATATCCGTACGTCCCATTTAGATGTAAAAATACATTTCTGTATGTGCTAGTACGGTTGTTTATTTCCCACTTTTTTTTTAATCTCTTCGCGTATTAACATTGCCAGAATCGACATCGCCTAAAAATGAAAGAAACATAAAATAAAAATGTGTCTAAATGTTTGTTTCATAAATTAATACAATATACATAATTACATTCTGTATATAATATAATACGTAAAATAATATAATATATTACTGCTTGATAAAAACATAGCTTAAGATATATTAAAAAAAATTTTAAAAAGGGGGAAAGGAACCTTTTCAATTTCTTCTGTGGTTGCATAGCTGTAGCAGAGTCGTAGATGTTGATCGGGTTTCCCGAAATCGCAATTAAACGCGTGACCAGGAACAAGAAATATCCCATGGGAGACGCAGTTCTTCGTCGCCAATTCCATCACGTCATCGAGTCCGTTCACTTTTATCCAAACGAACATTCCGCCGTCCGGAATGTCCCACTCTGCCAACCCTGCAAATTCGAGTAACTACAAGAAAATGTTCTCCGCACAATTTTTTGTTCATTTAAACCGCGTACGCAATTACGAATTACCCTCAGAAGACGAACGACGTCAAGACACGTTCTTCAAAACTCACTTTTACTAAATTTATTCGCTATTTCTTGATTATGATTTACAATTAGTACTAACAGACAATAAACGAAAATGGCAGAGCTTATTATGAATATGTACCGCTTTAGCAAATAAATAAAAACAACCCATAAATATAAAAGAACATACAATTTGTACAACTCATATTCACTCATATTCGTAGATTTGAAATGAAAGATTCTATTTAATATTCTGATAACTATATGCAATTTGTTGTACGTATCGAAAACACTTTTCTAATATTCGCCTTGCCTGATCGCTGCTACACTGAATACTGACTACACTAAGCCTCACTACACAAAAAGTTTCTTCGGGTGCATGCGAGTATGCGAGTTTCCTTATCGCTAATGGCCAGAGGAGGGGGCGTGGTTCAAGTTGCAATGCCTTTACGGTTTAATTTTTAACCGTGCGTACTGTACGGTTAAAGATTAAACAAAAATTGAGTCAACGTATGGGTCACGAGTGACCTGGCGTCCGCTGACGGATGGTTAACCAATATCACAACGAATACTTAATATCAACGCTATTTAAAATACTATTTTTAAGTACTATTTGAAATATACTAGTTCGTAACGATACGGTATTATTATTTTTAACAGAATGCATTAACATTCGTGGTTTTTAACTTCGATATTTCCGACAATGATAGATCATAATTAGGGTGAGCCCACCCTGACCGTTTGAAAATCATAAGTACCTTTGTGAATTTTTTTCTCAAAATACAATGAAGTAAACTGAAAATATGTTGCAGAAATTTGCCGAGGAAAAACGTAGAATTTCTTCGATATTTTGAAAACTTTCTTTTTTTACAGACATATTCCAATAAAACTTTTTGGCCAAAGTCAAACATTTTTAAAAAGTCCTACGTTCTTCCACTAGCAACAAAAATATTTTTGTATTTTTGAATACACGAGGTGAGTCAATAAGTACTGTTTAAAATAACTCGTTACCTATTTGGTTGCATCAGATAACGTTTTTTCATCGAATAGATACAGCTTGATTTTATATATCTTATTTTCTTTAAGATACGAAGGTAACATTGAATTTTTGCAAGGTTAATCCATCTTTTCTTTAATATCGCGTTATTGTCAATGGAAAAACGAATTCAGCTACCTATAGTGTGGGGTCGCTGCTTTATGGATTCAAGGAACTCTAGGTCTTAAGGAGTGCGTGTCTATGTTATCGGTGTGAATGAGTGTGTGCGTGAGGAGTTCGGTTTTCGGGGATGGAGATGCAGGTCTGGGTTAGAGAGAGCAGAGAGCGAGTAACCAAGTGTATTGTGTGTGACTTTGTTTTTGTTTTCCTCCTTTTCTTTCATTAAATATTCTTGCTTTATAAAATATTTCTATTCACTCAAAATCCCTACAATAGCATAATGGTATTAAAAAAAGACGCAATCACCTTGAAAAAAATCAAGGTCACCTTGATACCTAAAAAAAAAATAGGGCATACAAATATCAAATTGTATCCATCCGATGTGTCCCTTAAAATGCTACATAAATCATTAAAACGTTTTTCGATACTACCAATAGGTAACGATTTATTATACCTACACTATATGTATATGATTATAGATAGTTCTTATTGACTCATATATACACGGTGTCCTAGTATTGATGGTGCAAGCGGAGAGGGGTGATGCTACATGAGAAACTAAGTCGAAAATATGGAATACATTTTTTTTTACTTGAGGCTTCGTTTTCGAGATACATAATCGACTTTGAATATTAATCCCGAACGCGTGTATTCGCCATACAAGGTAGTAAGTAGAAACGAAATGCAATGAACAAACGTGCTAGCCAAGTCCTATTCAGTTACACTCGTGTGGAGCAGATTTTCAAAGTCGATTTCCTCGAAAACGAAACCTCGAAGAAAACATTTTACTCCATATTTTCACATGTAGAAACACCCACTCCCAGGTTGCACCATTAATACTGAGACACCCTGTATGTATGTTACAGACTTTCCAATTAATTTCCAGTTTATTCTATTGTATTCCTTGGAAAATTCGCAAAGGTACCTGTTAGCGTCAACCTATCTCGAGTGTAATCGGAGGCGAATGGCCCGACGCTGTTTTGCATTCACAGAACTTATAATAGGGTTTCTAGAATGCATGAAGCTAAATAGACCTGGCGTCGCACGATGGCAGCAGAGCACGTTGGGTCCTTCAAACGGTTTTAATAAGTTGTATTAACCCTTTGCACTCAACTGTCGCCTCTGAAGCGACAAAATGTATGGAAAATTAGAAATTCCGAGTGCAAAGGGTTAAAAACAATTTATTAACTTTTCTTCGGACTTCTAACACTCTATAGCCGTTTTTTTATAGATTTTTGTGCCCTGAAAACAAATCTCCAAATGGTTTCTCGTCAGAGTAGCGTAGTAGTAGTAACATAACATAATATAACAATAATATAGCAATAGCAATATAACGGTGCGTAGTATATATGTAGAATAATTTAACATAATACTAGTATGAACAGGGGCAGAGAGGGAGGGAAAAGAACTAAAACTAAAAATAACAAATTAATAATAGAGAAAAGTGAAGAAAAAAAAAAGTATATCTGCGTTTACTTTAGAGGCGGGAATGCCGGCTGGTGATATCGGAGCACCGCGATGAACGCTTGCAGACAACCCGTGCAGTTGTTGTTGTACCAGATTTGCAAGACCTGAATCTTGCAGACCGTGTACCGGGTAGCATGCCAGGCCCGGTCCTCCAGGATTAGACAATGGGCCCCCAGTAGTACTGCTGCAAGTCCTCCCCGTCCACGGTCCACGCACAATCTGGTGTCTCGCATGGTTTATGAGTCCCATTCCTCGGACGCACTTGCGACGTTGGAAAGATGCCTGATCTTGCGCTGGCAAGATGGCTTCGGCCAAGGTGCTGGGCGTCGGCTAGTTCCTGTCGTCTAGGTATTCCTCCATGCATATTTTACGGTATGATCCCATGTTTCTGTTACTGCGATTTCTTGTTGACGTATGTCTGTTTCTCGCTGCTGCGGTTGGGTTTTATAGTTCCTTCGGCAGTCCTCCCTCTCTGCTTCTCGTTGGTCTTCGTCGTTAGTGCTGACGGATGCTAAACGGTTGCTGTCGGTGATTCCCTGTTAGTATGCCTCTATTCCCTTATATGGTTCGTGCAGAGGGATTTCGTGCACTTCTAACGATGAAGGTGTGGGGTATTGTTATGATCGGCATCGGTGCTGATATAGGTGTTCTGTTACGTATGGATTCCTCGTGTCCCCTGGGTGCTTCCTCGTTCTTTATACCTTTTATAACAGAATATACCGATTGCCGAAATTATGGCAATTCCTATTGGTCCCGTCGTTACAATGACCCCTTTTATTCCATATGTTATTATGTTTTGTTAGTTGATATTTTCCACGGCGACGGTATTTCTTAAGTTGTCCTGTCGTTGCGGAGGGTTTCCAGATCCTTCTTCGTCTGATTGGTAATGGCCGAAATATGTTTATAACGAAAAAAAAAGTAAATTACCCGTTAGATGCTTTTGGATCGAAGCCAACATAACGTCTCGTCTTTCGCGATAGAATCTTTGGATATCGTCGAAGTGCTGCTCCAGCTTCTGCATGCTCCACGTGTCCAACAATTTGTACACCAACATCTGCGGAACAACAATGCAACCCATAAACAACATAACGTGCCATTCCTATTATCAACGTATCAGTTTATAACGATTTGTAAGAACGTATTACTATTGCGACTGCTGACTCAGCCGTGTAGTTTAAAATTTCGCTGTCGAGAAATTTTGTTGTTCGCAGTGTAGATCGCGATACACATTTATTATACAATAAAATACAATTTAAAAAACTGAAAAATACTTTAAATGCCGGTATAAAGAATTTGGGGGAAATATAAACATTAGTTCTTATTCAATGAAATTATATAAAAATTCTTTGAACTTGTATCTGCCATTTAAATTAATTTTAAGTTTACATTAAAATTATTGTTTTTTTTTTTAAGTTTAAATTAATTAATAGAACACGTCGCAGTATAACAATGACAGAAAATACCTGAGACATGGATGAAGCGTGTATGCACGTGGTCTCCATGTGTAAGAGTAATTTTTTTATAAAGTCCGTATGAGCCGTGACGACGCCCAATCGGAGTCCAGCGCTAAGAGTTTTGCTGAACGAGTCCAAACGTATCACTCGACCTTCGGTGTCCAGTTCGAGAAACGACGTCGGCTGTTTCGCTAGGAAATGGATGAAACAGTATGGATCATCTTCGACGATTAAGAAATCGTACGTTCGAGCCAGTTCGTAGATCCTCTTCCTTCGATCCTCGCTTAGCACCGTGCCCGTCGGGTTGGCTCCCGTTGGATTTACGTAGATTATCTGAAGAAAACAGACGTCCCTTTCTTAAAGAATACGTGCGGACTGGTGTACGAATAAAAACATTATACAGGGTGTACCAAAATATTTTCGACTCCCGGAAATGGAGGGTTCCTGTGATGATTCGAAACAACTTTTTCTTTAGCAAAAATGTTATCCGAGGCTTTGTTAACGAGATATTAACGAAAAACCCCGACCTTGGCTACGCGCTGCGATTGGTAGAAAAAAAAGGTCAAGAAAAAAGAAACTTTCAAAGTTTCGGAGTTTGGGACTTAAAAGAATATTTATTGTTTTCTAGGGTGAAATTTCTTTTATATTATGATGCATTTTGAGAATTCTTTGGACCAATAAGACACACGTAGATTGATTAACTAAGTTTTTTTTTTTAAATGGAATTAAAACAGTTAAAAGACTCATAGAACTCGAGGTCGTACGACTGGCTGGTCATCAGAGGCTCGATCGCTAGATAGTCAAGTCTGATAGCTTTCTCGGTTGTTCAGGGTGTGCCAAAAACACCTGATGGGTTTTAAAATAAAATTATAATATTTTAGACAAAAGCCTACAAATTTATTGTCTTGCGGTGTAAACATTGCTCTTTTTACGGAGAAATAATGGACAACGGTACGGTTTGAAAGGGACATTACATGCACTCCGATACGCCGGAAACTCCGAGAATCATGTTACGGCGGACGTAATATATGTTATCTCTTCCGACCAGGTTGAATGAATGTGTTCATCGCAACGGTAGACACTTAGATAACTTACAATTATTTCTCTATAAAAAGAGCATATCAGCGCAAGACAATAAATTCTAACGGTTATCTTCTATAATGTTGTTTTATTTAAAACAAAAAGAGTTTCTCAAAAAATTTGAACCGACTTCGAAATGCGCTAAAAAGTATAGCTTGCAATGTATTTAATATGCTATTGAGTCAGAGAAAATATGTTTTCTTAACCGCTGTTGCATTTCTGTATAAATAAGAAAAATAGAAATTATATATTGTTTAAACATCTCTTTGATTTAAAAAAGTAGTATTATACGTTAAATATGAAGAATTAATTAATAATTAATTAAAATTTGCGAGCAATCCCAGTGAAAAACATACATACACATCGAATTGTATACCTCCACCTTTTCGAAGTCGGTCAAAAACTGTCAAAATAGGCGATACACGATTTTTTAATGGTTAAAAATTTTTTCCCTAACGTTTCATTTAAGAGTCAGCGGTATTTTAGTCAGAAAATGGAATAATCGTAAATTATTCGGATACGCGAAATCACTTGGAAACCTCTAAATGTTTTCGCGATATTTTATGTCAGATACGATCCCACGGAATACCGGGAAACGTTTTTAAACCGTTCGTGACTAGGAGGACGATAAAATCTACGATTAATGCGATCTGACGTTTACACCCGTATTGTATATCGTTCTCGTGAAGAATATTACTCGTATTGGGTCCAGTAGAGCGAATGATATTGATTTATGACTGTTCGTTACGTGGTGGGAAAATGAGCGTGTTTAACGAGAGAGCGAAGTGAGAGAATAGATATCAGAATTTACAGCAACCAGTTGAATGTTTAATATTACGAGGAACTGTATGAATTTGTTGATATCGTACAGTGTTGAAATTGTTCGTGTGGTAAAGATTATTTGTTTATTATACTTTTTGTTCCTGTATCAATACAGTGTTTGCTTAATAATGAACTCGAAAACAACGAAAACAACGAAAACAACTAAATAAAGTTGTTGGTGATTGATACGTGACGACGTAAGCGATAAAAGAAACTTGACGTTGTACAGAAAAAACAGAAGATAATAGGGTACATGCACCAGTAAATGAACTCTATATGTATATAAAAACGTGTAAATTAAGTTAGTAAACTAAGCAAATAATTGAATACTGATTTTTTTTCAATTCCTCATTTCGTATTCAAACAATTTTCGCGCCACTGGTTAGAAATGTTCATTTACTTAACACTGTTCATTCACTCTGTGAAATCTGTATTTTTTCTTCTAAGTTTAATTTAGTATAATTTTTATAATTTTTCAAATTGAAATCTATACGTTATAAAAAGGTATAGATATTAGAATAATTTCATGATAATTTTCATGCGCCAAATATTTATTAATACTACTATTATTTAAAATTCGACTTTAATAGTTACAACATCTCTTAAGTGTTCATTCATTGGTGTGTTTACCCTAAATATGTATAAATACTGTGATGTGTACCTTTGGCATTGATTTACCATCTCGCGATCGTTCCTTGCAGATTTTCATGATCTCATCCGGGATTATTCCGTCATGGTCTTGCGCAATCTCGAGGAACTCTGGCATGAATGGTGTTAGCTAAAAATATCAGGTTCGTGTGTAAACAACTTCGACCGTGGATAACGAAAATTTAATAAAAAAGTAATTGGGTAATAATAACGAGACTGATCAATCTATGGATAGAACTATTAGATTCCGCCGTAATACAAAATGTATAATGGATTTTTAATTAAGTACATGGAACGATTAAATTCACTAATGGATTTGAGTAAATCGTAATTAGGGAGACCGTACATAATTGAATATAGACCTGATTAAATACTAATGATACAGTGATAATTTTCACTAATAATTGAATCCATAAGATTATTAAATTCGTTAATAATGAAGCATGTATAATAGATTTCACTGAATAATAATTAAATAACGATAAAGACATTAATAGAATAAATTTGTAAAATTATTGAATTTTATAATAATATATAGATTCTGTTTAATAATATTATAATAATTGTAAAATGTTTTTGGTTAAACATAAGGGTATTTAACCAACGTAAAAAAGATGCAAATTATGATTCTATCGAATAATTCGATTGTTCAAATATAAATGAATCCAAATTCGTTAATATACATTAAGATTTTACCGCGTTTAGGGTTCCATTGTAAGCCGGGACTTGAACCATCACAGGATCTCCGATTTCTAATGTCATCTCGAAAACCTTGCTGCAACCCTCCATCGATCCAGGTGTAACAAGTACGTCCCATTGATTATACTTCGGCTTGTGCCAATATTCCTGAAGATCCCTCATTTTCTTTACCAGTGGTAAATATCTTCAGAAAAAAAGCACAGATGAACTTTAAAATTTTAATAGATTGCCTTAAATTATAAATTAACATCCAAATCCTCTTATTCAAATTTGTTATTGTCGAAGATAATGAATAGTCAACTTTCAACTGCTGTAACTTCTCGACATTATTAACTTAAACAATGAATATTGACCGAGAATTTTTAGTATTACTGCTCCTCAATAATATTGTTCATTGAACTTCCATTAATTCTAACGAAAATTATTTTGTTCTCCACTCAATATCTTGATTAGAAAATACTGTAGTACCTTAATTGAAAGTAAAGCACATAACACATAACTTAAAGTTGTATATTTTTAAGTTAAATATGAAAATGTCACTATTCCAGTTATTCCACATTTTAATGAATCATTAAAGAGTTACCCTTGTGATGGTCCATATTGAAGGGACCAACGCAAATCCTCCCCCGATAATTTGATATTATGGCCCCCTTTGTACTTGATAGAAATCTCTTCGAACGGAAATGTCTTGTCATTTGGCATTCCGTTTGCCAGGCTTATCGCGTTTGGGGTTTCCATGAATATCTTGGCTGTATTACACAGAAAACTCTCACATATTCGAATTATATTTATTTAAAAATAACCTTGTTTTATTTAAAATTCAAAATAGAAAGATGCAACATAACTCATGTAAAATTTTTAATCTTATGCATACCAATGCTAAAAACTTTTGTATGTCATTCCAAAATTGGAAGTCACTAAATGTTAACAATTTAATTTATGAAATGTGATTTACTAAAAATATTTGATGGATTGTTTTTTGGTACTAATATATTAATCAGTGGGTCAATGAAAATCGGTCCCATACTTTTGACCAGTCCTGTACACTACAGATCCACTCTTACCCCATTTCCGGAGAATACCAGGCTTTCGTCTGTTCGAGACCTTCGTGATAAATCTCTTGAAATCCATTATTAACTCCTAAAAAATTCCTCGTTGATTATTTATCAGTCCTATTCACTCTTGTTTCGAATTGAACTTTCAATTCTAATCTACTCGATATCTGATTTTACTTAGTCACGATAACGAATCGTTTTACACCAAACTGAATAACAACACTGTATTAATTAAATTACCGATTTAACGTTCAAAATACACATAGTCGAATAATTCGCAATTTGTTTTCAATAATTATTAAACGTACACGGAATTTCAATTGCCCCTTCTCGCCGAAAATTCGACCGAGCTACTGATTCCATTCAATTCGGATTCGAAGAGAAATCATTTTCTTATCAACGCTTCTTCGAGGTTATCTAAAGCGCACTCAAGCGGTCGGCCTGATGAACAATACATATTGCAAAAGTAATTTTTCGGATATAAATATACAGGGTATCTCATCGCTTCGTTGCAAATTATTTTGTAAGAGTCACTTCCACCCACTTCGATTAACTTTAATCAACAATTAACTCAATTGACGGTGTAGGTAACTTAATCATTGATTAAAGATAATCGAAGTTGGTCGAAGTGACACTGAAAATCTATGAAATCCTCTGGACACTGCAACGTGAATTTCCATGCAGTTTTCTGTAAAAATAAATGTTCAAATTTCAATTCTAATTTGGACTAAAATATTAAATGCATCAGTGATTTGCATTAGACTCGTTGTCTAACGCCCAATTTCTGGTTGGACAACTGGTTGAATATGGAATACTTACGTTCGGTATTGTTATCGAGGTAAAAATGAATTGTCCGTGAAAGGAAATGATTCGTGCAAAGGGAGAATTTCGTTTCGTATGGTAATTAAGAGTGCAGAATAAAAGTCGTGGAGGATATGTTGTTTCAACGTTTTATGCTCAACACGTACATTTTTCTTTTTTATTTCGGTATCTGAAAAAATAGAGATACGTCGAAGGAAACGAGCGTTCTACCATCCGTTCATCGAGAAACAGTTGTTCGGTTCGGAGATCGTATAGGGGTTTTTCGTTACAAACAGTGCAAGTCGGGTACATGGTTCTTGTAAAATACTCCAGTGACGAAGAAATAATTATGTTTGGGGCACGAGTATACAGAAAGAATACTTTCATTGTCGTTAGACTGCGGATTGAATGTGATTACGCGACCCACAAGAGAAAACATAATAATATTCTTAATATTTAACGCATTTGTCGAAAATGAATTTTCTTAAGTTCTTTTAATTCTTTTCGATGATAAAACATTTATTATTAATTTTGCGTTTAGTTACTGTGGTCCTGTTTGATCTTGTACGTATTGAAACTAATTCGATTCGATGATCACTTTCTAATTAAATTAAAAAATTCTCTGTCAAATTTGTTTTTATTAATGTTACTTTATAAATTAGTAAATAAACGCACAAAATCCGCAGTCTAGTCATCGGATACTATTGAAAGTCCACAGTTGCGATTCAGTTTTGGAATGCCCTACGCTCAAAGGGTCAAGAGCCAAGAGAAAGTAGAGAAACTTTGAAAATATCATAAATTCGACAGTATATACACCCCGCGAATGGACGATCGTTGACTTTCGGAAAGTAAAGAATGCAAGAGGAAGGCGTCATGAAAGAAAATGATAGTAGGAAACGGTGAAAGTTTTATTGTTCGTACAACAGGATAGATTTCGTTCCAAACATTACGAAAGAGTAATGGGGCCTTTGTTTTCGCGGTCGTGAACCGTCATCGTAATCATAACCGTCTAATTTCATTCTTCTCATTGATCCATTCAGTCACTTTTCGTCGTCCAATTTCACGCACGATCTCTATACATATTTCTTCTCGATTTTTGCTCTCGTTTAATTTTGAACACTATTTTCTGCGACACTTTTGAGACAAATTTTCACGAAATTTAACTCTTTTATTCTATTTTTTTTTTCATTCATGTCCGTTATAATCACGATGACAACAGTGATCGCCGTTGACGATCATGATTATCGTGGTTAGAACTGCTCGGAGAGCAACGCTCGCGACACAGTTGCACCTCCGATTTTTTTTTCGTGTTTCCGTATCTGTTGATGTTTCTCTAAATGATAATGGAAGAAGATCCGGCGGAAAGGCACCGAGAGAAGTTGTTTCGCGTTGTAACGTGATTGTTGAACGTGTAATCGGGCACGCGTTCACGGTGATATCTGTTTTATTAATTAATGATAACCAAAATTTCCAAGTTAATAATGTGTATGTACACTCAAATTTAATTCAAGTACTGAAATAAATGTTAAAATGAATGTTAATTTGGCATAAATTTCAGAAACTTTCGAAACCAAGTGGTAGGTCTTTTCGTTAGGAGAAAAAGTAGTGTAGTTTAGGGGAAGGGCCTCCTACCATTTGGTAAAATTTTAAGTACTGAAGTAAATTGAAGAACTGAATGTTAATTTGGCATTAATTTCAGTAACTCCCGAGTTCAAGTAGTAGGAGGCCCTACACCACTATTTCTCCTTGCAGAAGCCGAATTTGTTCGTGAGGATATGTACACTTCCGCTAGGGAAATTTATGCCGAATTTGCTCGTCAATGTACCATACTAGTTCTTTTAGTTTCCTATAACGCGAACATTTTTAGAAAACATTTTTAGAAAGATGTGTCCCATTTTGAATCAATAGAGCAGGTAGTTTTAGTTAATTTTTTAAATTTACACAAGTACACAATAATAAATAGATATGATACGATTGTGTTGTATGAATTATAATGTGTAGTTAATTGTATTAATTCATTGCACAATAAATGAATGACAAACTTTGTTCTTAATTTTGCTTCTTGTGAATCGTAAACGCGACCCGATTAACGGAAAATTTTACAACTCTATTAATATTTGGCTTCGGTCTCTCTAGTTTTCTATGCACAAGTGCACGCATACATGCATACACGTACACAAACACACACACAGGCACGCACGCTCACATTAAACAATCACTCGTTCACCAGCCCCTGGAAGCCACATACACGCGTACACAAAGGATTTCTGCTGTTTAATTGGCAGTCATCGAAGCGTCATTAATTAATCAATCAACTAAGCACGAGACAGTTAAGAATCAATAAACCTAGACAGAAACTTCGGAGATTCTTTTTAATTAGACTGTCCTTGTTTTTTGATTTCGTTCAGACTGGAAGAGGACCGAATACATTCGAACTAACAAATCGAGATCCATTTTTTTTTTCTAATTAAACAATTAGACTGCGGATCTTCATGCATTTGTAGCATACAAAAGTGTTCAAAACGTAACAACAATGTACTAACTCCTCGCAGAACGTGTTTGATCGAACGATTAACATTTTTATTAATTATTTCACATATACTTTGATAGTAAAAAATATTACTATATACAGGGTGTTTCACTTATCACCCCTATCACAGAAAATACGAAAGAATAGAACAATTGAATAGAAGAATAAATTAATTCGTTGATACATTAATATATAATATGTATTGTAAATGCACGAAAAATTAAAGAACTTGTACTTATATTATATCAATAGTTTCGTTACGTACATTCCAAGAAAAATAAATTATAGTGTTTATTGTATGAAGACTTTCTTTGTAGAATACTTCGATAGTCGAACGTAACGAAACATCCTGTACACATGTGAGGAACCAAATAATAATGTTAATAATACTTAAAGTACATATTAACAAATTAATAAATTTACTTGTCTTTTCACTTAAGACAGAATAATGTAGCGTTCATTAAAATGAGAAAATTATAGAAAATTTTGTGAGTAGTATCGTTAATTGTTTAAACATTTCTCAGTTTCCGAATAAATGAAAGGATGACGACAGTAGTCAGAAACTTTTGGAGATGACTATACATATCCTTCCAAACACTGTCTCACCTACTCATATTTTATCTTCCATTTTACAAGGTACACATACATTTATTCTATACTATTTTTTCTACTTTCTTGCTTTTTATCATCAACAAAAATACGTGTTTTACTTTATAATTGACGACATAGCGGAACAATTTTGTTCGATCAAATACATTCTGCCAGTGGTAGTACATGTTTCAACAATACTTAAGTTTATACTTTACGTTCGATCTATTCAAAATCATCATCATCAGGCAGGGGAAGCAACATTCCGTATTTGTAATTTCAGTTTCCCTACGTTCTCTCTATAAAAGTGTAAATATGCACAAACACCCGCAGCCCATAAATAATCCTTGTAACGATACTTTTCCCGTTATTGTTCGAACATCGACCAGAAAAATACATCCCTTTCAACATCGAAAATATAACGGAGTCGTTTTCAGTTCCATACAATTTCACCGTCGAAACGTACGACACACGGTTAATCTAAATTTTCATATTTTTTTTTCCGTTTTACCTTTAATTGCGCATATACGTTACGTACATACATAGACACATCGTAGTACAAAAAAAAACCATGAATAACGAGAGGTCGAAGATATTTCTTCTGTTTCAACATCATTAATTTTTGTTTTTGTTTTTTTTTTTTTGTTTCTTATTACACGCACAGCTAGATCAACGTCTTTTGTTGTTTTAAATGTTTTGATTTCAATTTCCGTTCCTGCTTCTTCTTCGTCTTAATGCAAACGTAATACGGTGTTTCCCGGGCATTCTTTTTATTTCCGGAAAACACAAAGGGACTCGCAGTTCTCTGTGGTTTATTCGGTTTTGTTATTTACAGTATATATCTATCGAGCGGCTACCCCCGTTCTTCTCGTCTTTTTTTTTACAACAGTTCGTTCGAGCAATTATTATTTTAGTCTCTGTTGGCTGCTTAGTTCCTTCTTCTTCTTTTTTTCTTATCCCTTAGACGTAACTATACAAACAATTTTGGCATTTCTGTGATTCCTTTGTTGTACCCACGTTCATCCTCGTGACACCATTTTCTTCCGCGACAGCCTCCGCCTTTCTCTCTCCTCGCCAGCCACGCGGAGAACCAGAATTAATTCCATCCGAGTCTTCCCTTCGACTGGTCGACTGTTTCATGAACAATTCAACAGTTCTTTTCTATTATTCGCTACACTTAATTATGATCTTCCGTTTAAAGTCCATTTATACTATTCCTTGATCAGACTTTACCTAACTCCTTTCCATCCAACAGTTCCCATTTCTCAAATTTCCTCTGCATCCTCTCTCCTGAAAAAAGATCCACAGCCAGCATCTATTTCAACGAAAGCACGTTTTTTTTATTTCTTTTTCGAATTTTTCTCCCGTTCCATTCTTCCTGTTAAAATAACATCGAACGACACCCCGGCTCCAGATTTCCTGCTCGTCTAAAATTCTAATTCCACGCAGCATTTGCTTTGTCTCCACTTCTATTTCTTAAAAAATAGAATTGATACCACGAACCATAGCGATTATTTGCAGGTTCGCCACCCGTTCGTGAGTTCGTTCGATCCTCCTGCACGTATGTGTTCACCCGCGGCAGGAGGATCACCTTTGTGCGATTCGATCGGGCCGTCTGTCCGCGCGAAAGCTTCCTGAGTGTGTTGATTTGTGTTTTTTCGTATCGGTTATACCACGTGTCGCGTGTGAATTCTCTTCGTGTAACTAGAACAACGTTTCCTGGGACCAGACGGGTGGACTGGATGGTAGGGGCGCCGGTGGTGGTCTGTGCCTTAGCTCGATGGCTGGTGAACACGGCGGCGATTCGAGGCTGCTCTGGCTACTGGTGCTCACCGATACCGTTTGCGACCTATCGGCACGTTAATAATAACGTTCTTTTCCATTATGCAAGTGGAGAATATGAAATATGTAGTAGCATTAGATCACTGCGAAAGTGGAGTGGAAGAGAAAGAAGAACGGTTAAGTGGATAGCACTGCACACGGACCAGAAACGTGAAGCACAAATACCTAGAGGTTTCAACAGCCACACTAACGCTGAGAGGAAATGCTAGGAAAGGGGATGCTAGGAAGAGGGATGCCTGGAAAAAGGGTTGCCTTGCAAGAGGGATGCTAGAAAGAGGGATGCCTTGGAAGAAGGATGCTAGGAACAGGGGTGCCTTGGGAAAGGGATGCCTTGGAAGTGGGATGCCTGGAAGTGGAACGCTGGGAAGAAGGATACCTGAAGGGAGATCACAGGAAGAGGGAACCTAGGGAGAGAGATCCTAGGAAAAGGGATCCTAGGAAAAAAGGTATGATGGGAAGAGGAAAACTAAAAAACAAGGAAATCTTGAGGATTGAAAACTAGGAAATCCAAAATTCGAGAAAGTAAAACTGGAAAAAGAAATGCCAGGAAAATGATAATTAGGAAAAGTGGAACTAAAAGAACGAAAAAGAAGAAACGCGAAGCAAAAATACCTAGGGGTTTCAACAGCCGCGCTGATGCTGAGGCAAGTTCGACAAGGTTTTCCCCCGGGTCGCCGCCTAGGGACACATCCGGCGCAACGGTTCCATTTCTCGACGATCCCCTTCTTTCTGGGCCCGGGTGCGTCGGAGTCGGTCGAGAACCCAGACACCTCATCCTCCGTGTCGAGTCCCTCCTCCTCTTGTTCATCGTTTCTCAGGAAGACCGAGTCGGAGCCCAATGACCTTCCATAATATCAATCATTCGATTTTCACTTCAAGATTATCCTTTTTGCTGATGCGCCATACCCTAACCTCTCCTTCTTGGGGTCCCAGTACAAATCACCGACAAACGTTTCGTCGACAGTTTATCGCGTTGACACTGATTCGTCGATATGGATTTGAATGTCCGTGGACACGGAATGTCAATCAGAAGTCGATGTCGATGAATCGGTGTCAAATGTAATAACTGTCGATGGAACGTTTTTGAGCAACCTAAACTCAATCATTTTTCTAGACCCAGCGGAATTTAGTGCCTTGTACTGTTATCTTTGATTTTACATTTTTAGGTTTTATTCATTTTTCGATTCTGGGTGTTATTTATTTTTCGATTTCAAATTTCGTTTTGGGTGAAATTTATTACTGACCTTGAGTCCGGTTCCGGAGGATCGACACTGCCCATGGAAGCTAATGGCGCCCTTTTGCCGGTAGGTCCGGCGAGCAAGAATTCGGTCGCGTAGAGACCAGCCTCACTTGTGCAAGGAGAAAGCTCGGGGGTTGGTTGGATCACCTGCTCGAGAATTGTTTTATGTATTGTAAGTGGACTGCGGATTTTATGCATTTATGAAATATACGATTTTATAGAATTCAGTAGAGTAAAAGGTTTCAGAAAGTGTATGTGGGTCTTCTTTTTATTTCGAACCTACTGAAACCCTCAACAGAGTAAATAAATTTTTCTTTACCAGTTTTGAGAAATTAATCCATAAAATTCTATATTTGCGTAAACATCCACGGTCTACAATTTATAACATTTTCGAATTTCCGAAACGCATAAAAATAAAGGTTCTAAGAAAATTACTATTTAAACAATTTGTGTATTGTTATTAACGTAGAAAATTCCCTGATACTGAATTTAAAGTTCTGTTCAAGCAGAATTCTTACGAATTAGCGTTCAATATTATGAATTTGCACAAACAATCCACAGTCTATTAATGAAAAACTTGATCAAATCCTCAATATGGTAAACAAATTTTCAGATGAATGAATTCAGTTTTTACAATTACATTCACGAGAATCGGTATTTGCATAAATATCCGCAGTCTAATTATCGGTGTTTCCCATTTTAATATTGGATTCTGTTGTGTCTGTGTGTAATAGGTCTGTGGTACACGTTGTTCAATTGATTTTTACCATTTTTAAACGAGCATGGAATAACCGAACGGCAAGCATTATTGGAAACTGATGTACGTACACATTGTTCCACGGATTTCTGCTACGTGAGAGGAATGTACGATTCCTGTTTTCGATTGTTGTTTCTTTGTTCGATATGTGCGGCACGAATACTCGGAACGGAGTACGCGTTCACTTGTTTATTGAAAAACGAATTGTCAAGCCCGTGACAAACAATGTATATAGGGGTGATTCGGGGGACAAAGTTGTACATTCGAGAATAAATGTTATACGTAGGCAGTTATGATCGAAACTGACTACAGGTTGATCCAGAATTAAAGGGTCTGGGCAATTTGTATAGACGATGATTAACAAATAAAAGTCCTAAACAATCTTGTATACAGAATGATTCAGGAATAGAACCTGTATACTGTCTGTAGTCGCAAAGACTCTGTACAGGGCGATTCAAGAATAAAAATGATATACAATTTATACTAGAGAAAACTGTGTAAAATGTCATTGAAGAATGAAAACTCTGTATGAATTGTAATACTAAAACCTGTATACTAATGTAATAACTTCGTCTATTAACGCCCCCTACTTTTTCTTTACTATTTACTCGAGCGTAGTTTCATCACGAAACACAAAAGGTAATGAAAAAGTGATTGTGACAAAGTCTTACCTGAATGTCAATGGGATAGTAAAGGTCCCAGGGTTCGTCGTGGGCAGCGTGTTTCGACGAATACGTAGGATGAAGCGGCAGACACGGCACCGGCATCGCAGATCCTCTCCTCTCGAGATAGCTACTTCCGGTGCTGCTACATGTCACCGAACTGCATCTCCTCTGCTCCTCGGGGGGTGCCAAATTCGGTTGTTTCGTTGGCGCCGTCAACAGAGCCTCGTAGCCGCCCCCGACTGACGCGAAACGCGGACTAATTCGTGGAGAATGAGACTGATTCACCTGTAACTGAACACATAGATTCCATTAGACACACCTGGGATTGGAGCTCCTAAAACCTGGGAAAAGAAAAATTGACTAACGGAAAACTAGATACAGGAAGAGTAAGGAAAAGGATACCAGGATCAGGATTTCTAGGAAAAGAAATTCTAGAAAAAATAATTCTATGAAACGGAAATTCTAGGGAAAGGAATTCTAGGAAAAGAAATTCTAGAAGAAATAATTCTATAAAAGGGAAATTGTAGGAAAAGGAATTCTTAGAAAGGGAATTGTAGAAAAAAGAATTCTAGGAAAAGGAATGCTAGGAAAAGTAAAGTACGAGGAAGGCAAACTAGAAAAAGGAAAACTCATGGAAAGAAAACTAGAAAAAGGAATGCCAGAAAACTGCGAATTAGGAAAAGGAAAAAAAGGAAAAGGAGAGATTGGAAACGCGGACAGACAGCGTAGTTCAGATGGTTAAAGCTAGCCAAGATATCCGAAGAATCCAAGGAACGTGAATTCGAGTCTGATTCGTTCCTTCTCCCTGTTTCCTAAGTATTTACACTACACTAATGTTTTCAGTGCTCCGTATTATGATGAAATGAATGAATAGACTAACCTCGACGCAAAGAGATCTCCTAGGACCCCGATCTGGTCTCGGTGGTAATCTTGCGATGGCTTCAAGGGCGGCTGCGAGGGCCCTTTCCTCGGCTTCTTGTTCAGCCACTGCTGCGGCAGCTGCTGCTGTCAGTCTTGGATCGTCTAACTGCTTGTTCGATTTACACCTGCGCCACACATACACCATTGTCTTACTATCATTCCCGCCATGATATTGTCTGAGCAGTAGAAATCTCGGTAAAAGTAACGTTTAGGGGATGCAGCTCCAATGCCTTTGACCTTGACAAATATTGTGAAGGACACTCTTCTGAGTAACAACCCACAAGTTTTAGCCGTCGGTCGTTTTTTATAAAAAAAAAAAAACTTTTACCGAAATCCCTACAGTGAACGTATTGAAACATCGTACAAACGCTCACCTGCTTTTATATACAAGCAGAAGGATCATAAGACCGAAGAAACCGCCGAGTGTCGCAGCGATTCGGACCCCGGTCATAACATCGTAGGTCTTGTAGAATTCGATTTTCAGTTGCTCCCGTTCGCTAAGGGTTGGCGTCGCTTCCGGCATGAACGTCGTCGAGTCCATCCTCCTCGTCGTCATGTTGCTCACGTTCACGTTGCTGCCTACGACGCTCCCCATACCTGTGGAGAACAGGATCCATCCCTACTTAACACCTTACCCAATAAAATTACTAGGTTTTTCTTTCATTTCACCGTTTATCGATATAAAACCTATCGATTTACCTGTGAAACAGGATCAACAACAAAATCGTTACGTTATGTTGCTAGGAAATATATACCTACAGCAAAACAGTATTATATGTATAGTGTAGACGCAGCTTAACGTCTCGCAAGAATGTCAATTCATAATGTGCCTTTGGGGCATGCAACACTGAATCGATACGTCGAAAAAGTTGATATTAAATGGTTCTGTTTCTACTCAAGAATTTCACGTTACTCTTTTCTACTAGTCCCACAGGGAACGAATCTGTACCCCGATGCGTGTTCGAATTCGCGCTCGTTGATCCGGAAAACAACGAACACGGAATAACAACTGCTGCCCCTAACGATGCACCGTTTTGTTCTTCTTTTTTTTTTTCTACAGTGCAGAATTTCTCGTGCGGAATATTCAGTTCAGTGGTATCCGAAGTGTTCTGTACCTAATAAAACCGACAATCCATCGATTAACACAGTTGTTCAATTGTTTGCGCAACGACAAAGTAACTATTGTCTTTAACAATGGAATTACCAAAGCAGTCATTATGACAGGAATCGTAAGCGCTTGAAAAATTATGAAAATATTGTACACTACGATACAGTTAAATTTTTAAGACAAACACATTTCTATTTGACTCCAATCATTATAAATTAGTCTACAAAACTCTATATTTGCATAAACATCCTCAGTGCATTGCCTGTAATTTCTTCAGATTTTTATTGTAATATGCAAACAAAGAAATTAATTAATTTATAAATTTGTATATTCTCAAAAATCTGTAGTGTTTACCAATCCAATAGAAATAGGTACACGTTAATGCTCGGTAATTCTAGTACACAGTAGCGAACAAAAATGTCACCACTTTTTTGATTCTTTACATTTCTACTATTCCTTAACATTAACTTAAAACCTTAAAATACAAGGTTTTATACAGCTTTTACTTATCTATCAGAATATATATCGAACCCATACCAAAGTTTTAATTTGACGTTCAAAAATAATAAAAATAAAAAAAAATCGAAAAAATGGTTACTTCTTCATCCACTACTGTACGTGTCTGTGTCATCTTCTGGATCACGACTGATCCAATCGTCTGCTTAGACGATCCAAGGATACGTAGACCAATAGACTCTTCTAATCGTTTTAAAATATGTATTATTTATTAATTACGTTTCATACAATACGACGGATATCAGCTAATTCTCTAACTAAATAACGATTCAGCTTTTATGTTCATTTATGAAGCTTCAACTCGGTTTAGCGAGCAATGTTTACCCAATGAATTCCGAAAGGATTTCTCTATTTATTCTTTTGTGGACAAACACGGCGTATGAGCCAGCGCTCGTGGACTCATTATCGAATATAGAGCGAATACATTGAGAGCAGCACGTGGTACTGGTTCGGAAAAGTCATAGCGTGGCTATCGAATTCCAACGATAATCAATAGCGCGGAACTTTCAAGGGGTGTCCTATAGAGTGGCACTCAATCGAGAGCCGGCTGTCTCGAGAATGGAGAACACTTCTGGGGGAACAAAGACGAAAGGAAAAAGCCCCGACAAAACAATGGAAAATAAAGAAGAACACGACACGTTTTTTCCGTCGATTTTTCCAAGGAACACCGCATTCCTATAAATAGCTCTCGCCTGATGAATTAATTAATTATTGTAATAATGCAAGATCTAGCAACTAAGCGACAAATTTTCGCTTCGTAAACACGAAACTGATAATTCTCGCGATTTTAATGAATTCTCGTGTAAATAGAGTAAATAAAATGAAACACGAAATATCAAGGTAATTTAAAGTTTTAAAGTTAACGCTGAACACTTTACTGAAAATGGTACGGTCGTAGGATTATAAATTTTCGAGGCGTAGTAATAATTACTTCAATTCGAAAACTCCGAAAAGAGGATACTTCAAATTTAACCTAGGCACTATTAGAGAGACAGTAAAATTTCAAATTTTGACAATAATTACTGGATTACCCAACACACTTCTCACGGTGGAAAATTAAACAAAATTTTCATCACAAAGAAAATTCCTAGAAAAAAGAACGTTTACTATTTATTCGAAACATCTTTTTAGTGCAGGTCGACCATGGTATTGTGCTCACCGATGCTGTATATTGATTCCAGCGAGCAAAACCGATGGAGGCTGTCTTACGACGTCCCGATAAGACCTGTCACTGATAACGCCTCACTATTTTCCAGGTGACTCCATTTCACCCTGTTCATTTCCAACGCAAAACTGATTTCAGGCTCGAAATCGGATATTTTTCAATCAGAAACTCTCTCAATGCTGAGAACTATTGTATTATCTACAGAAAACTGCATGAAATCATCTAAACAAAGACATACTATCATTTTTTACTTACATCGAAAATTTTATTGTGTAATATTCCAGGTAGCTCAACGCACAAAATTCCATGGTCCAACAATAATTTCCGTTAACCCTTTAAGCACTTATATGTTGCTTATACATACATGCGTCATGACGAAAGAAATTCATACAGAGCGTGAATGACGAACATATTCGAGGCACGAAATATTTTTAAAGCAATCTTGGAAATACAGACTTTTTGGATCGGTGCAATATTCATTTTAAAAGTTCGTCAAATTCTGTCGTCGGTTGATATCTAACTTTTGTCAGCACGGATACATAGTTTCACTGATATGAAGTTGATCTCCACGTTTTCAGGAGAAAAATTCAAGCATTCCCTCCAAAAATAAAAAAAAAGGAAAAAAGGAAAAAAGGAAAAAATGAAAAAAAATAGGTCTGTTTTATATTGACGTTTTCGACTTCAAAGTAACAAGACACAACGTATATATGTATATGTATATCAGTATCATAATTTTCAAATAAAGATTTAAGGGTCTGGGCGTTAAAGGGTTAAACAATTAGTTCGTGGATAAAAGGGAACGAAGGCTAAATGATCACTGGTCAAAGACGAAAGGATTCGATGAGCGATTGTCGCCCGGGATCGCGGGAAAAGGAAAAAAAAAGTTCCGATTCGCCGTGAAGAGGAAACGAATACCAACGAGGCTCTTTTAGATGTTCAACGAGACGGAATACGCGGTGAATTCGGTCGAAATTCCGTGATTTTGCTTAGGATGGCGCCCGAATAAGGGGGTTAATAGGTCGATTTAAGCGAACGAGGACGACAACCTGTGGCTGGGGGTTGTGTACGGTAACCCTCAAGGATCTCCTGCCTTACAAAATCCTCGGAGAGCTTTAAAGCCATTTGCTGATAGCCTTGATAACAACGAGCCTCGCTTAAAACGATCAGCGTGCAAACTATGGCGGCGACGGGGAGGAAAAAAACGTAAAAAGATGAATGGGGGGGGGAGTAGTTTGTAAAACAGCTTTTTTCCCAAAAGTGCTTAGTATCTATCAGAAGTGGTCATTCCGAAAGGAACTCGAGTACAAGTCTGTTTTTACATTCGTTTCATCAACGAATAATACATTACGATAATTATTAATGGTAATCAAAAAATTTTTGTTTGATCATTTATAATGGTTATTCGTAACCAGAATACTTGAAAATTCATAGTTTTTATTCACGTCCTTTTTTTGAGAAATTTCGCCAAAATTTATTACTATCTGGTTTCCATTTAAATAAAAATTCCTTTTAACTCAATGATTTTTTTACCAAAAAATATTTAAACTAACTGTTATTTTTGGTCTCAGATAAGAATTATAAATATAAGAACTTTATTATAAAGAACTTATGATTGCCCAAAAATGCTGAAAAAAACATAGAAACTTTTTTTAGACCAGATAACACCACGTAAATGTTAAAACAGAGCCTAACAGACGCTTTGTTTGTGTTCAAAACAAATGTAACAGACGTCGCCAACAATGGTCGAACAATGGTGGGGTTTCAGGTGAAACTGATTCGCGTGGAAGATTATTGGACAATGAGGCGAACGAAATACCATCAGGAATTATATTCTGTTGTCGTCAGAAAGGAGTTTCGTGTCCATTCAGGGGAAAACTAAATCCGACAAATTCTCAGCGCCGCCAAAGAGCTAACTCGATCGCTTTCCTCTGGCGTTTCTTCTTCTCCTTTTCAGGAAATTCAATCCGATTTCTCATTAAGTGTGCTACACGGCGCGCCTTTCGTTATAAAATCGTACATCTGTCCCCGACACGTTATCCGTCAGACTGGCATAGAGATGAGGACGGGGAGAAAATTTCTTTTTTTTTTTAATGAAATGAAAATTCTGTAAGCCAGGAATTATCATAATTCTCATTCTTCTGAGCTTTATAGGATTTCGTGACGAGTGATAACAAAACTGTTGAGCTACTTTCTGACTTTTAATCCGCTTTCAAAAAGCTTAATACATAAATCGTTAAAAGCTTATGAAATAACAACCGTCATATTTATATTAATGTTTCTTTCCATTTTTTACTTTTATACACCTGATTCTTTTTTTGATCAATGTGTAGGTATACTATGTAAGTGTAAGACATATTATTGTTAAATATAATAACTCTTGGTAGGTGTAAACTATTAAAAGATCAAATCATCGATAACGAGGGATTAGCTTATATTTTCAGTAATAGATCTATGAAGTGAATTAATTTCGAATAATATCCTGCAACAATCTGAGTTCTTCAAAATGTCATCGTGTACTTATAGGCGTAAAACTATTTGATTACAAACTAACCAACAAAATTGAATTTTATAAAAATAATTATTTTATAACTATTTCCCAAAAGATAAGGAACATACAGCTGCTTCAATAATATTAATAGTGTTCTCAGATACGCTACGCCATTTTCTCGAACAAAGTGGCGGGAAAACATACTGAATTCGAATTATAGTATCGTTTTGTTTGGTTGCCCATTGCTATGTCTGGCAGTAAAAACATTTCAAGCGTGAATAATTTAGCAGGGTAGGCTCTACAGGTGTATTACAGGTAAT